CCCCTCTCCCTCCCACCTCCCAATCCCCGGTTGCTGAAGGGGTGGGTCGCCGCCGCTCCTTCCAGTGATTCCATCAGCCGGTGGGTGAGACTGATCCCGTCCGCCGGCTGAGAAAACCTAATGCGCATGCGCGGCAATGCCGAGCATGTGCATTAGAGCTCTCCATAGGAAAGCATTGAAAATGCTTTTCAATGCTTTCCTATGGGGAATTGAGCGATGCTGGAGGTCCTCACACAGCGTGAGGACGTCCAGCGATGCTCTAGCACAGGTTGTCTAGTAGATAGCCACTAGAGGTGGAGTTAACCCTGCAGGGTTATTATTGCAGTTTATAAAATATGGGCAGAAGTGGTCTAGGTGCCTACAGTGTCCCTTTAACTGAGTGTGTGCCTATCTGCCTGGGTGAGTGTCTGCCTGCCTGCCTGCCTGTAACAGAGTGTGTGTGACTGTCTGCTTGTGACTGTGTGACTGCCTGTAACTGTATGTTTGTCTCTGTGACTGTCTGCCTGTAACTGAGCAAGTGTGACTGTCTGCCTGTAACTGAGTGTGTCTGACTGTCTGCTTGTAACTGTTTGTGTGTGTGACTGTCTGCCTGCACCTGTGTGTGACTGTATACAGGCAATTGAGTGTGTGTGTGTGTGTGTGTGACTGTCTGCCTGTAACTGTGTGTCACAGTATTATGTGATATACTAAGTCTGCTCCTCTGTAAGGCAGCAGAGGCAATCTGGCACCTCTGGCCTGCACTTCTCTGCTGGCTGCAGACCAGAAGTAGCTGTCTTCTGAACTCCGGCCAATCAGTTCATTGCTGTGGATTACCAGAGGAAAGCTCTGACACTAAAGCCTGAGCTTGCGAGACAGTTACTCATATTCTGCACCCGGTGAAGGGGCAGACCAGATTCCCAGCACTCTGGAACACCAAAGATATGCATTTCCCTCTCACTGCAAGGTAACAACAGAGAAAAAAAATATATTTGTTTTTAAATCATTGTTAATTTAATAAATCCCCCATACAAACCTACACTTCTATACACACACACACACACACACACACATATATATGGATGAAGGTGTATGACAGGGGAGGATGGGGGCACCGTGAATTATTTTGGCACAGGAAGCCTAATGGCCTAAGGCTGGCCTGGGTGGAGGCAATTGTATGCTCTAGGCCAGTGAAGGCAAACCTTTTTGAGTCCGACTGACTAAACCGCAATACATGCCAACTTTTTTTCCTCAAAGTGCCAACACGGCAATTAAACCTGAATACTGAGGTTTAAGTTTAGAAAAAAACAACTCATACAGTTGTCCACAACAGAGAGTCCAATTATAAAAATTTTAATATAATGATATAAATAGATCAAATTAAGCTTATATTTATTAGTATCTCCAACAAATGCAATACATACACACAGACTGCTGAACACATTCACACACCGACTGCTTAATACATACACACACCGACACACACACCGACTGCTTAATACATACACACACCGACACACTGCTAAATACACACACAGACAGACTGCTAAATACATACACAAAGTCCGCTAAATAAATACACACAAACATACACACAGTCTGCTGAACACACACACACAGTCCGCTGAATACACATACACTGCTGAATACATACACACACTGCGGAGTACGCAGAGTCTGCTGAATACACACACACACACACTGCTGAATACATAAAGACTGCTGAATACACACACACATATACTGCATTGAGGGGTGCAGTGTATGTGTTTGTGTGTAAGGGTGTGGAGTGTGTGTGGAGTGTGTGTGGAGTGCTGTGTGTGAGAGGTGTGTGTGTGAGGTGCTGGGTTGTGTGTGTGAGGGGTGTTGTGTGTGTTGGGGCTTAGGGGTGCTGTGGGGGGTAGGGGTGCTGTGTGGGGGGGGTAGGGGTGCTGTGTGTGTGAGGTGGTAGGGGTGCTGTGTGGGGGGGTTGAAGATACATACAATTTTTTGTTTTAAAAAAAGTATATTAAATCAGTACCACCCCCCTTCTTCTTACCTTTGATGAAGGGGGGTGGGGACACAGCCATCCATGGTGGTCCGGTGCTGGTGAGTACTGTAGGGAGCAGCTCTCCTGTCCTCCTGTGCGATGCTGTGTGGAGAGTTGCCATGGTAATGTTCGGCAATGCTCCACACAGATTGCTCGCGGGAGGACAGGAGAGCTGCTTCGAGATCCCTCCCCCTGCTTCCTGTCCTCCCGACAAGAAAGCAGAGTAGGCACCTGCAGTTTTGGGTAGGCGGGTGCCTACTCTAAATTGATGGCGAACCTATGGCCGCGTGCCCACAGAGAGGGCCCGGCGTGCCACCTGTTGCACGCATGCCATTGGTTCGCCATCACTGCTCTAGGCAATGATCTGCTGGGAAATCATGGGTCCTGGCATTCATGTGGATGTTACTTTGACACGTACACTCATTCATGTCAATAGTGTTCCCTGATCGCAGTGGCCACTTTCAGCAGGATAAGGCACCCTGTCACACTGCAAAAATTGTTAAGGAATGGTTTGAGGAGCATGACAAAGAGTTTAAGGTGTTGCCTTGGCCTCCAAATGATCCAGATCTCAATGCAATTGAGCATCTATGGGATGTGCTGGAACACTAAATCCGATTCATGGAGGCTCCACCTCACAACTCGTAGGACTTAAAGGATCTGCTGCTAATGTCTTGATGCCAGATACCACAGGACACATTCAGAGGTCTTGTGGAGTCCTTGCCTCGATGCGTCAGAGCTGTTTTGGCAATACGAGGGAGACCTACACGATGCTAGCCAGAGGGTTTTAATGTTGTGGCCAATCAGTGTATAGGCTAACTTTAATAATAGTGTTTTCTGTTTTTATTGTTAATTTTTTATTATCTCTTGCTTGTGGTTCAGTTTTTATTGTATTTTAAGTTATGAAAAAATTTATTGATCTTGTGTTTTTTAATACATATGTTTTTTTTAATATAATAAGTCTTTTGTAAAATATATCATCCTCATTTCCGTATAGTAAAACCATCTATATAACCATTTTTATGTTAGAGATTTATTTGAAAATTTGTGCAGAATATTGATTACACTGGTTTCAACTAATAGGCATTAGTTACGTAATGCGTCCTAATCTAATTTTCCATTCGGCAAAAGCCATGCTAATAAATATTGTTACCGCCTGGTCAGTGTGTCTTATTAATTTAAAAAAACTGACAGGTATAATCAAGACTCCCTGAAAACTGAGGTAGCGGTATCTTAGGCGAAACGCATTATTACACATACATAAGGACATCACGGCTTCACCTCACGGAACTGTTGGGGCTCAGGAGCAGACATTGGCACTCTGTTCAGCATTGGACTGTGAGTGTAAGAAAAACTGGAGAGTTGACCTGTTTTATTTATTTTGAATAAAGAAATTATTTTATCTGTATTTCGACCCAATGGATTCTGTAAACTACCGTTTGCCTCTGCTTCTGTGAAATCAGTTATGACAATGAAATAGTGAAGTAGTGTTATCTTTGGAGCCTGTAATTTTGAGCTGTACTTTATCTGCTCCCCTTTTGTAAACATTATTCTTTTCCCCTGACCCCTGTCCTCCTGTTTCTTCTCATTTTTTTTTTTAATAATTCTTTATTTTTGCAGTGCATATGTGTACAAACATGTTTGAGGTGCCCCAATAGCATAACATAAGCAAAGAATCATTTGTAACATTTAGGACAATGAAGCAGACATACACGTTTTTCGGTTTATGACGTAAAGTAAAATAAAGTTAAACGATAATCAGGTAGTGAAACGTGTATGCAACGTCATGGTGACTTGTTTCAGCCAGTGTTTGTGATAGGGGGTTGAATCTTGATCTCTGGTTTAGCTTTGGGATCGGTACTGCCTTTCACAGCGTGAATCAGTGGTTTTTGTCTTGGAAGATCACTACTCTAAGCTAAGGCCATGCTGGATGCCCTTGTAATCCCAGAGCCTGTGGGCTAGTGATTATAAGAGAGAAAGGCGTAGGTAGGCATGTGGCCCGGTTATGCAATGGAGCCCATATGAAATAAGCTGGATACCAGTCGCAACTTAAATGGCTGATGCTAAGATGGCCCCAAGGATGAGAGGGTACCAATAACCAAGGCAGCAGCGGGTGTGGGGGCTAACACTGTTAGCTGTGGTTCGGAACTAATTAGGTTTGTGGCCCAATACTAAATATAGAGGCTTGGCCCCTAATGACATCAGACGCCTAAAGGCCACTTTGACGTGTGTCAACAATAATGTAAAATGTGGTGTGTTAAGAGAAATAACATTCAAACAATAATAAAAAAATTAAACGAGTGCCATTCCTGGCATGTGTTTCTTCTAATTTTATGCAAATTTACACTATATAATTTTTTCTTTTTTATGTCATTATTGTGGATTTTTGCAAATTGTATTAATGAGGTAGAAAAAGTGTGTATCACTTATTTTTGTAGAATAATTTGCACGTTTCTCTGTAAAATATTTAGCATTGGTGCTTTTTAATATAATAGATCATTATATTTAATGGCACCACGCACCTAATTATTTGTATTGCACACTATTTGTCAAGTCTCTTGTTTCAATCCTTCCAACGTTATCATTTAACAATATTACCTTACCTATTCCGATGTTCAAGTTTCGTTTTTGTTGCCAACATAAACTTAGCATTAATTTACATTGTAATTGAATTGACATTTGCAGCCCGGGTCACCAAATTAACCAAATCACTCTGTAGAGAAGAACATTATTTTCACGTTATATTACCTTACTGATCTTTGTGATCTGCAAATATTGACAAGTGGCTTCCAGTAATTCCTCAAAGTTTATGAACAAACATATTAAAGAGAAATTGAAAACAATAGCGCTGAACGAAAAAAATATCAAAAAATAAAACACTCCGTTTTCCTGCTCCTTACATTCGATGAAGAGTAACCAAAGCTACAATTTCTCTTTCAATAAGTGTAAAATGTGTTTTTCTTCTCTTTTTTCTTTTCTTTGGAGGGTAATATGAATAACTGAACAAGTGATATATGATTTGTAGAAATGTTATATAGTCTAACAGATTGGAAGAACACAGATTCAAGGTTTATTTCTTGTTTTATCTGTACAAAATATTTATATACACTGATTTCACCCAATCTTTGCTGGTCCCCAAAATGTGACCACATTCTGCCCCTCAGTATTATAACCAATAAAACATTGTTGTATATGTCCTACATATATGTCTTCCAGAACGTAAAGTATTTTCTGAATAAGTCATCAGAATATATTCGGTAAAACCTTTTGGTACGGCAACAGATTGTTATTTAATGGGTGCCAATGTCTTCAGACATAAGTGTATATGCTTTAGTTTTATAGACACAGCCAATATGTAATCACTGCAAGCACAGAAGATTTTTCTAACTAATTAGCTCCGTCATATAGCCGATTCTCTACGATAGGAAATGTTATCTAATGCAATGGAAGCCTGGAGACGGTCTAGCTCTAGATGGCTTCCCATGACATGGATAACTCCTTCATCTGCAACGCCACCGACTGCATCTTCATCCTCATCCTCCTCTTGGCTGAGAAGGGCTAGTTCATTCTCATAACAGAAGGCGCTTGGTGATGGTAAAGCAGTAATACGACTCTCATGCATTTCCCTGGCACTGCACACAGGTGTGCCCGGAACTTGGTAGGTCTTGTGGAAATGTGAGTAGTCAACTTTGTAGTGATTCTTCTCTTCAAATACAACAGGTTCAAAACGATGTCCCCAGCGAATCTCACTTGCTAAATAGGAGCTTCGAGCTTGTGTTGTCATGGCTGTAGCTTCTACCATACCTTCGAGGATAACTACAATCTCAAAGTCCTCCACCTCAAGCTGCTCCTTACCCATGGAGTAAAATGGGCTTTCCTCATCAATTTCATGCACAATGATGATAGGAGATACCAGGAATATGCGATCCAGTCCACTATCATATCCTACATTCAGGTCCTTCTGATCAACAGGCAGGTATTCGCCCTCTTGAGTAACATAAGGTCTTATTAGCTGGGCACGAACATGTGCTTCCACAATATGACTTTTACGTAGATTACCCACTCTCCACATTAAGCAGAGTTTTCCATCTCTTTGCGCAATGACAGCATGGTGACTGAACAGCAGTGTCTGGGCCCTTTTTTTGGGCCGGGCCATTTTGGCCATAATAGTTCCGATCATGAAAGAGTCAATGAGGCAACCAAGGATAGACTGGGCTACCACAGCAAGTATGGCTAATGGGCATTCATCAGTTACACAACGGAATCCATAACCTATTGTAGTCTGTGTCTCTACTGAGAAGAGAAATGCTTCCACAAAACTGTTGACGTGCATAAGACATGGCTTAGGTGGCCCTGACTTTCCCCCAGTAATAACCCCACTAACCAAATCTCCATGGATGAAAGCAACAAACCAAAATACAAAGGCAAAGAATAGCCAGGATGCCAGAAAGGCAGCTGAGAAGATGAGTAGCATATAACGCCAACGGGTATCTACACATGTGGTGAAGATATCAGCCATATAACGCTGGGACTTGTTGCTTAGGTTGGCAAAGTAGACATTGCACTGACCATTCTTTTTTACAAAGCGGTTGCGCCTTTTCCGTCGAGAATGTGGGTGATGGAGAGAAGCAGCCCAATGACCATTAACACCAAGAGAGGGCAAATGGAGGCCTTCTTCATCTGTGGACACAATGCTGTATCTACTGTAGGAGACAAAGAGGAAAAATAATTAGCTGAAAATATACTGTAAAAATTGCAGCATCTATAAGACTAACCCCTGACTCACTGAAATTCTACTGAGTTATTTTACTTCCTCCTTTGCTGTCCAATATCTGTCCTAATTGTGAGTGCAGCCTCACAAGTCTATTTTCCCTTGAACCTTAACTGCACACATGCATGGTTGAGCAGCTGAGGAGACTTCTACACAAAGCACTATTCACAAAACTGATAACGGCAACTGTATGATTGCTATGAGTTTATAGATCATCCTATGGAATGCTGCTGAAGAATAAACTACTAAGAATAGACCTAATAGTCCAGAATGAGTGACTGGAATTCATCCTTTCTTCCAGTTTAGGGTGGATCAAGGACCGGACTGGGAACTAAAAGTGGAGGTTTATGGGATGTACCATCTCTCTCATTGAGAACAAGAGGAGAGCCAGGATTGTTTGAGATAGGTTTCACTTCCTTAGTGTTACTGACATGAACATCATAATGGAGACTGCCTCCGAAAAGGAAACTTTAAGTGAGTATTATTTTATTTAATTAAACATATTCTAATATTTGTGTAATTTGTTAAAAATGGGAAGGGAAATTAAAAAAGATATACATTGCATTGTATATCTTTTTTTTATTCTTTGGAAAACAAATGCAATAAAAATATAAATTTTCAAATAAACGTGGACGGCTTATCCCTAGCAAAACCGAAAGACCCCTCACAAACGCAATCCCATTTACTATTTAATACCGTGTCCACAAGCACCTCCAGTGCCATCTTTCCCCAACCCGATGTCACACTCTCTCCTCCCATGTAAGTCTATATTGTGGTGTTTGCCTGCTGATGGCCTCCACAGTTCAGTGTAACTTTTGACATCAATGTTAAAAAGCTGAGCAGCATCTCTAAATGTCCATGATGATGCGTCGTGTAATATAACACTCAATGACACTGTAAAAAAAAAAAAAAAAAAAAGCTAAAATATCTCGTCTTAAACTGATAAATTCTAAATTGATGAAATCCGTGACCATTTATGGCCTATGTGTGAATATTAAGGAATTACTGGTAGTGGGATAAGATAACATTGTCCAGGTGGGGGCTTTATACACAGGATGCTGTTAGAAGAACCACAAGATACTGTTGTGGGACACATAGCTCCTCTGCATTCTGCATGTTATGTAACACAGGATCCTATATTTTGCTCTCAGACTCGAACAAGTACCATCTGTGACTGTTTCACACACAGCATAACTCAGTTGCCATGGCAACCTGCAGCCCTGGTGGCGTCTAACAGGAGCTCAGGGCTGTAATTTCAGCATCAGTCTCAAGCTAGGACACGGCAGGGGACTCAACTGTACCTTTTTCTACCACAACTCTCCCCCACCTCGATGCCCACGCACCCTGACTCACCCCTCTCTCTCGGAGTTGTGAAGCAATGTCATTCCTATGACATCATGATGGATTAATGACAAGGATGATAGGGGGAAGCCTAGCACAACTGCTTTCTGAAAGGGACACAGTATGGTTGAAATGACCCCCCTACCCCCTCCATTTTAAGTGCATTTTATCATGCAAAAGAAAAACAATGAAAAAAAAATACAATGTAAGTATAAGGAGTGCCACTGACACTTTGTACAACCCTTAGGGTTCGATCCGGACGGGTTGCTTCGGATGCCCAGCGAGGACCGGTGTATCCCCTGCTGGTCCAAGGGGGTGGGGTTAGGAGAGAGGAGAGCTGAGGGACTCTCGTGCCAGTTTGCAAGTGAAGAGAGCAGCCGCCTCTCCCCTGCTCGATCCTCGGTAGACCTCAGCAGATGATTCCAGATTGGGTATAAGGATGAGTCTGGTGTCCAAGAGTTCACCTGGGTGTCTCCAGCACAACTGTAGCCCCCCAGATCATGGGCGTTTTCTGGGGTTTTTTCCCCAAAGTAGTGAATTTTGTCAGGCTACTTTGAGTCTTTTAACTAGTACTTTTCATCACCAATGTCATGCCACTTGGCTTGATTCCATGGTGTGCCAGGTACCCTGTTAGGTGAAGTGACACTATCTGGGTCATCATGTTAATGCTATGTCTAACTTTATCTGACTCTAATCATAGCTAATGCAAGCTAACCCTAATCCTAGCAAATAATTTATGACTGATCCCAGAATACGCTGGTGCAACTTGACATCATTTGTTAGTTGTGATTGACTGTCACAGTGATCCTGTTCTCTGAAGTAACCATATTTTTGTTATTATTATTTATAAACAATTTCTGCAGCGCTGTATAATTTAGGATGTTACTGGAAAGGCTCAATCATAGAGATGGAGATTTGGTATCAGATATTACTGTAGGTGAAAGTTTAGGATCCAGTGATCATCAATCAGTGTGGTTTAATACAAGAACAGTGACTGTCACACCACACAAAAACAAAAGTTTTAGACTTTAGAAAAACAAACTTTTCTAAAATTAGAATATGTGTAAAGGAGTCATTACCAGACTGGAGCAATTTAAATGGAGTCCAAGAGAAATGGGATTATTTAAAAGTTGCACTACTGAAGGCAACAGAAAATTGCATTAGGCTTATCAGTAAAAGCAAAAAATTCAAGAAACCACTGTGGTACTCCGCAGATGTGGCCAAAATAGTAAAAAACAAAAAGTTAGCATTTAGTAATTATTAAAAAACCCAGAGTGAGGAACACAGAATGATCTATAAGATTAGGCAGAAAGAGGCTAAGCAAGTTATAAGAGCTTCCAAATCACCCACAGAAGAGAAAATAGCACAGTCAGTAAAAAAGGGGACAACACTTTTTTTAGATACATAAATGAGAAAAGAAAAGTTAAACAAGGATTAGTTAGATTAAAAACAAAATAAGGAAGATATGTAGAAGAGTATAAAGGTCTAGCTGACTGCCTCAATGATTGTTTTTGTTCGATATTTACAGATGAAAATGAAGGAAAGGGACCTCAGTTAGGAAAAAGGACAAATGAGTCATTTGTTATATGTGAGTTTACAGAGGAAGAGGTTCTAGTTCAACTGTCAAAGGTAAAGACAAATAAGTCAATGGGACCTGATGAAATACACCCAAAGTTATTAAAAGAGCTTAGTGGTGTCCAGGCAAAACCATTAACAGATTTATTTAACCAATCATTGTTAAAAGAAGTAGTCCCAGAAGATTGGAATTTAGCTAATGTTGTGCCCATTCACAAGAAAGGTAGTAGGGAGGAGTTGGTCAACTATAGGCCAGTAAGCCTTACTTCAGTAGTGGGGAAAGTGATGGAAACCATGTTAAAGAATAGGATTGTTGAACATCTAAAAACCCATGGATTTCAAGATCAGAGACAACATGGGTTTACTTCAGGGAGATCATGCCAAACTAATCTTATTGATTTTTTTGATTGGGTAACTAAAATTATAGATCAGGGTGGTGCAGTAGACATTGCTTACCTAGATATCAGTAAGGCTTTTGACACTGTTGCACATAGAAGACTTATCAATAAACTGCAATCTTTAAGTTTGGATTCCAATATTGTTGAATGGGTAAGGAAGTGGCTGAGTGATAGGCAACAGAGGTTTGTAGTCAATGGAGTAGATTCGAAGCGTGGGCTTGTCACCAGTGGGGTACCTCAGGGATCTGTACTTGGACCCATTCTCTTTAATATTTTTACTAGTGATATTGCAGAAGGTCTTGATGGTAAGGTATGTCTTTTTGCTGATGATACTAAGATATGTAACAGGGTTGATGTTCTAGGAGGGATAAGCCAAATGGCAAATGATTTAGGCAAACTAGAAAAATGGTCAGAATTGTGGCAACTGACATTTAATGTGGGTAAGTGCAAGATAATGCATCTTGGATGTAAAAACCCTAGGGCAGAGTACAGAATATTTGATAGAGTCCTAACCTCAACATCTGAGGAAAGGGATTTAGGGGTGATTATTTCTGATGACTTAAAGGTAGGCAGACAAAGGGCTACCAAACTGGTTCATGGATTGCAGGATAAAACTTACCAGGAAAGGTTAAAGGATCTTAACATGTATAGCTTGGAGGAAAGACGAGACAGGGGGGATATGATAAAAACATTTAAATACATAAAGGGAATCAACACAGTAAAGGAGGAAACTATATTTAAAAGAAGAAAAACTACCACAACAAGAGGACATAGTCTTAAATTAGAGGGACAAAGGTTTAAAAATATCAGGAAAAATAACTTTACTGAGAGGGTAGTGGATACATGGAATAGCCTTCCAGCTGAAGTGGTAGAGGTTAACACAGTAAAGGAGTTTAAGCATGCATGGGATAGGCTTAAGGCTATCCTAACTGTAAGATAAGGCCAGGGACTAATGAAAGTATTTAGAAAATTGGGCAGACTAGATGGGCCAAATGGTTCTTATCTGCCGTCACATTCTATGTTTCTATGTTTCTATAAGGCATCCAGGAACAGCTTGATACACATCAGCTAGTGAGATGTGTACCAATTTTGACAGTTTTAGAGCAACTGCTGGTGCTGCTGTCCCAGGAATTGCTTGCCTGGTGTTACCTTCACAAATCGCATGGCTATTTACAAAGTGTCTCTGTAGCGGAGATGCAGTATGATCCACAATATCTCCGCGGGTAGACAGGAGCAGCATATAATAATCCCGGTAGCATTATACAGATCCTTCCTTCCCAAGAACTAGACGACACATAAGCTGGGAGTCAACTGAGGTTTTAATCACAGGTCATAATATTTATGAGGTTCCCAACGCAAGGGGTTTCCTTACTGACTTTACAGGGGATGTACAGTAGGGGAACATTTCTCCCACCATGCACTGCTGTACGAGAGGGATACTCTCACTAGAATATCCAGTTAAGTAGATTATCCCTCCTTGCAGCAGAACTGGCTTTTTACATAAAGATCTATAACTTTAACATTATTCATGCTATTATACCGAATAACCGTTCGGCAGATAGCTGGGGTCTGAGCGCATACTTCATGAAAGTACCGCTCAGATCCCAGCACAATTAGCCGAACGCCACACGAAATACACTTGAACACACATTCTTTACAAAGTCACGAATACACATACAGAGATAAAGTACCGAAAGACCGGGGCTCCCGAACGGCCTGGAAGTCAAGCGGTATTCGTGCTGTCGAGTAGCTGATTTTAGTTCCAGGCACTCGACCACCAAATACCGCTGGGCTAACAAAGGATCCAAGATGGCCGCCGCCGAGTGGTCGGTATCCGAATGGCGGCCACCCTGAACATCTATTAACTGCTGAAAGATACATTGTTGCGATCCTTGATGGGAGCCACACGACCTCCTGTGTGTGGTCTCCCATTCGGTAGTTTGTTCGTTTCACGAACAGTGTTGAAATTCACTGTTCGTGAAACAACTGCATGAATGCTGGTGGCTTTCGTGCCGCCAGCATACGAATTCTCTCGTTCACATAAAATATAGAATAGGGAACATGGACAGTTCAGGTAGTCTTAAAGCCACAATATCACACAAACTTAAGTCTTAAGTGGGAAATATAGTCTGAAGTGGCTAGATTTGCCACAGTCTCATTAGTAGGCATTCAAAAATAGCTTGGTTTTGCTGACTGCATTAAGACTTGTAGTGAGTACTTTTGATCACGATATTAAAGTATGCCGTTGCTCACCAAGTTTAAAACTGACCATGACATACACTATATAGTGGTCAAAAAGTTGATAAATTACACAAATAATGTGCCTTCACTGCAACATTCGTTTCATGTAAACAGCTGGCATAACATGTATTAGAAACATAGGATGCATAGCACTCACACAAACATAGGGTAAACATTTTTTGAGTTATATTACTGTTCAGGGGTGCAACAAAAATAAAAAAGTTCCCTCCCTCTACCATTAGCTCCACAGAGCTACAACTCATTGAGAAGTCTATGAATATAAATTCGATGCAAAGCCTCTGATTTTGTAAACCTCTGAATGGAGGCTTACAAAGGCTGCAGACACCAGATCTGCAGCTGTTTGCAAGCTTTGTTTTTTCATAATCCTCAACAGCCTGCAGAAAAAAATCCAAGCATGTTTTGTTTGGAATTTATCTACTAAATAGCGATTATTGTTGTTGTTTTTCTTTTAATCAGTGAATTGTTCCTTTAAAAATCTGTATATAACATGTCCAGCACACAGCAAACTATAGGTCCATGTAGACTATATAATCTTTTGTTACAAATAAACACACCAGTAGATTTATATTTATACTGCTGTCTCTGGATTTGTAGCTTCTGCATTCATATTGTATGGTGCATGGAGTAGTTTCATAAAGTCATGTGATAAACATGGCTCTAACTGTTTTTTTTAATTATTTGTAGATTTATAGAATCTAAAAATATATACTTCTATGTTTCTATTTTTTTCAGTACAGCTTTCAGTGTCTCTGAATGCCTCTTCTCGTTTGATCGGCTATATAACTATTACAATTTGTCTTGAATTCTTGCAAAGGCTTAATTTTTCTCCTGCAAAAACAGCAATGCTGTGTAAAAGTAAGGGGTTTATTCACTGAAATGTAATAAATGAATTACCAATAGACTTGTGCATTTGGTTTCAAACAAATTGTGATTAGTTGAGAATTTTGGTGAAACGAGGAGGGGCACTATAAGAACTTATATTGCCAGAAGAACGGCTTTGTTTTCCTGGCACTATAGAATCCCTTTAATACGCACATGAATGCTCCAGACAAGCAAAGTGCTAAAACTTTGGCTTTTGTAGAGGTGGTCACACTTGCTGATTATCAATTATTCAAGGGCATTGATTACCAGCACGTGTCTGCTTTTTAACCTCTTAATTCCTATGGAAGCAGTAAGGGTGTACTTATTGTTTCACACATGGCTTCTCCTTTTTGGCTTTATTTTTGTTAAAGCACCACTATAGGCACCCAGACCACTTCAGCTCAATGAAGTGGTCTGGGTGCCAGGTCCATCCAGGGTTTACCCTGCAGCTGTAAACATAGCAGTTTCAGAGAAACTGCTATGTTTACATGAGGATTAATCCAGCCTCTAGTGGCTGTCTCATTGACAGCCGCTAGAGGCGCTTCTCACTGTGAAAATCACAGTGAGAAGACGCTGACGTCGATAGGAAAGCATTGAGTTATGCTTTCCTATGGACTGAATGAATGCACGCACGGCCCTTGCCGCGCATGCACATTCAGTGCTGACGTCGGAAGAGGGAGGAGATTTCCCCAGCGCCTGGAGAAATGTAAGTGTTTAACCCCTTCCTCCCCCTTCAGCCCAGCGTGAGTGGGACCCTGTGGGTGTGGGGGACCTAAAGACTCTATAGTGCCAGTAAAACGAGTTTGTTTTCCTGGCACTATAGTGGTCCTTTAAATAAATCATGACACGTGTAATATGTGATGTGTTGTTGTTCATCTAATTTTAAAAACCTGCCAAGGAACAGACGGTTTTTATTATGTCCTGATATGTAAAACCATAACATTCATAGAGGGTGTACTTTCTTTTTTCCATGACTATATATACTCACTAATCAGCCACAACATTAAAACCCCCTGTCTGTATAGGTGCCCCTTGTGCTGTAAAAACAGCTATGATGCGTCGAGGCATGGATGCCACAAGACCTCTGAATGTGTCCTTTGGTATCTGGCACCAAGACATTAGAAGCAGATCCTTTAAGTCCTGCAAGTTGCGAGGTGGGGCCTCCATGGATCGGATTTGTTGTTCCAGCACATCTCACAAATGCTCAGTTAGATTGAACACCATGTTTCTCACACCATTCCTGAACAATATATAGAATGTGACGGCAGATAAGAACCATTTGGCCCATCTAGTCTTCCCAATTTTCTCAATACTTTAATTAGTCCCTGGCCTTATCTTATAGTTAGAATACCCTTATGCCTATCCCATGCATGCTTAAACTCCTTTACTGTGTTAACCTCTACCACTTCAGCTGGAAGGCTATTTCATGCATCCACTACCCTCTCAGTAAAGTAATACTTCCTGATATTATTTTTAAACCTTTGCCCTTCTAATTTAAGACTATGTCCTATTGTTGTGGTAGTTTTTCTTCTTTTAAATAGTCTCCTCCTTTACTGTGTTGATCCCCTTCATATCCCCCCGTCTCGTCTTTCCTCCAAGCTATACATGTTAAGTTCCTTTAACCTTTCCTTGTAAGTTTTTTTCTGAAATCCATGAACCAGTTTAGTAGCCCTTCTCTGAACTCTCTCTAAAGTATTAATATCCTTCTGAAGATACGGTCTCCAGTACTGCGTACAATACTCCAAGTGAGGTCTCACCAGTGTTCTGTACAATGGCATGAGCACTTCCCTCTTTCTACTGCTAATACCTCTCCCTATTCAACCAAGCATTCTGGCAGCATTTCCTGCTGCTCTTTTACATTGTCTGCCTACCTTTAAGTCATCAGAAATAATCACTCCTAAATCCCTTTCCTCAGATGTTGAGGTTAGGACTCTATCAAATATTCTGTACTCTGCCCTAGGGTTTTTACGTCCAAGATGCATTATCTTGCACTTACCCACATTAAATGTCAGTTGCCACAACTCTGACCATTTTTCTAGTTTACCTAAATCATTTGCCATTTGGCTTATCCCTCCTAGCACATCAACCCTGTTACATATCTTAGTATCATCAGCAAAAAGACATACCTTACCATCAAGACCTTCTGCAATATCACTAGTAAAAATCTTAAAAAGAATGGGTCCAAGTACAGTTCCCTGAGGTACCCCACTAGTGACAAGCCCATGCTTCGAATATACTCCATTGACTATAACCCTCTGTTGCCTGTCACTCAGCCACTGCCTTACCCATTCAACAAAATTGGAAGCCAAACTTAAAGATTGCAGGTTATTGATAAGCATACCATGTGCAACAGTGTCAAAAATCTGATATCTAGGTAAGCAATGTCTACTGCACTACCCTGATCTATTATTTTAGTTACCCAATCAAAAAAATCAGTAAGATTAGTTTGGCATGATCTCCCTGAAGTAAACCCATGTTGTCTCTGATCTTGAAATCCATGTGATTTTAGATGTTCAACAATCCTATCCTTTAACATGGTTTCCATTACTTTCCCCACTACTGAAGTAAGGCTTACTGGCCTATAGTTGCCTGACTCCTCCCTACTACTTTTCTTGTGAATGGGCACAACATTCGCTAAATTCCAATCTTCTGGGACTACTCCTGTTAACAACGATTGGTTAAATAAATCTGTTAATGGTTTTGCTAGTACACCACTAAACTCTTTTAATAACTTTGGGTGTATTCCATCAGGTCCCATTGACTTATTTGTCTTTACCTTTGACAGTTGAAACAGAACCTCTTCCTCTGTAAACTCACATGTAACAAATGACTCATTTGTCCTTTTTCCTAACTGAGCCCCCTTTCCTTAATTTTCATCTGTAAATGCTGAACAAAAATATTAATTGAGGCAGTCAGCCATACCTTTATCTTCTACATACCTTTGTTTTTTTTGTTTTTAATCTAACTAATCCTTGTTTTACTTTCCTTTTCTCATTTATGTATCTAAAAAATGTTTTTCCCCTTTTTTACTGACTGTGCCATTTTCTCTTCTGTGTGTGATTTGGAAGCTCTTATAACTTGCTTAGCCTCTTTCTGCCTAATCTTATAGATCTGTCTATCTTCCTCACTCTGGTTTTTTTTTTATAATTACTAAATGCTAACTTTTTGTTTTTTACTATTTGGCCACATCTGCGGAGTATCACATTGGTTTCTTGAATTTTTTGCTTTTACTGAGAAGCCTAATGCAATTTTTTTGTTGCCTTCAGCAGTGTAACTTTTAAATAATCACATTTTTCTTAGACTCCATTTAAATTGCTCCAGTCTGATAATGACTCCTTTACACACATTCTAATTTTAGAAAAGTCTGTTTTTCTAAAGTCTAAAACTTTTGTTTTTGTGTGATGTGACTCAGTAACTGTTCTTATATTAAACCACACTGACTGATGATTACTGGATCCTAAACTTTCATCTACAGTAATATCCGATACCAAATCTCCATTTGTTAACACTAAATCTAGTGTGTCCTCTTTACGAGTTGGCTCCTCAACGACTTGTTTAAAGACAATCCCAGTAGGGAGTTTAGAATATGTGTGCTCCTGGCACAAGCAGCTATTTTGGTTTTCCAGTTCACATCAGGAAGATTAAAGTCACCCACGATGATAACTTCCCCCTTCACTCTCATTTTAGCTATATCCTCAACTAGTGGATTATCTGACTCTTCTATTTGTCCTACACGAGTTACTGTGTGATTACCAAATTCTAACTTAACTCAAACAGACTCTATGTTTGCCTCACTAACTTTTATTAGGCTACATTTTATGCTATCCTTAACATACAGGGCCACCCCTCCCCCTTTCTTGCCTTCCCTGTCTTTTCTATATAAAGAGTTCATGGTATTGCTATGTCCCAGTAATTGTTCTCATTATACCATGTCTCAGTAACAGCAACTAAAATTACCAGTTGCCATTATTGCCACAAGTTCATGGATCTTATTCCCTAAACTGCGAGCATTTGTAAACATGACTCTAAGCTTATCATTTAACACACTTGCTACAGGCACCTTCTGTCCTTGTTTTTGGGGGCAATTGGATTGATGTTTTATCACCCTTTTGCCCCTCCCCCCCCCCCATTCTAGTTTAAATATATCCTAGCAAAACCTCTCAACTGCTCACTGAGAACATTTGTTTCCTTTTGAGAAAGATGAAAACCATCTTTTTGTACAGTTTATTTCCATTCCAAACAGAGCTACCATGAGAAATGAAGCTAAATCCTTGCTCCCGACACCATTCACCAAGCCACAAGTTAAAGTCCCTAGTACGCATCCACCTGTCGTTCTGAGTGTTATGCACAGGCAGAACTTCAGAGAATGACAGTTTGGAAGCAACCTGCCGTGTATTATTGGCAAAAACACAAAAAACTTCCTTTACCTCTGAAACCTCATTGCAAGCCAAGTCATTTGTCCCTAGATAGACAAGTACACCCAATTCCCCATCCTGCTTTGCTTGCTTAACAATATTACAAATACGTCTCCTGTCTCTGTGAGCAGTAGCTCCGGGAAGACATCTCACAAGAACACTATTGTCCATGTCCACACCTCTTATGATAGAATCCCCCAACAACAACTGCTTTCTGTTAGGCCTCACCATAATCTCCAAGCAGTGGCGTACACATGACCCATGGGGCCCCGGTGCGAAAATTGATCCGTGGGCCCTCCCAGCGGGCGAGGGCCGCCTTAACACATGGCGGTGGGCACCTGGTGCGCCCAGGGGTTACGGGGCTGCGACCCCTGCGACCGCGGTATGTTCGCCAGTGCATGCAGATGCACACACACTTAAAGGACCACTCTAGGCATCCAGACCACTTCAGCTTAATGAAGTGGTCTGGGTGCCAGGTCCAGCTAGGGTTAACCCATTTTTTCATAAACATAGCAGTTTCAGAGAAACTGCTGTGTTTATGAATGAGTTAAGCCTTCCCCTATTTCCTCTAGTGGCTGTCCCATTGACAGCCGCTAGAGGCGCTTGCGTGCTTCTCACTGTGATTTTCACAGTGAGAGCACGCCAGCGTCCATAAGAAAGCATTATGAATGCTTTCCTGAATGCGCGCATTATGAATGCTTTCCTATGTGACCGGCTGAATGCGCGCACAGCTCTTGCCGCGCGTGCGCATACAGCTGACGGGGAGGAGAAGAGGAGGATCGGAGGAGGAGAGCTCTCCGCCCAGCGGTGGAAAAAGGTAAGTTTTACCCCTTTCCAGAGCCGGGCGGGAGGGGGTCCCTGAGGGTGGGGGCACCCTCATGGCACTATAGTGCCAGGAAAACGAGTATGTTTTCGTGGCACTATAGTGGTCCTTTAAAGGACCACTACAGACACCCAGATCACATCAGCTCAATGAAGTTGTCTGGGTGTCAGGTCCCTCTAGTTTTAACCCTGCAGCTGAAAACATAGCAGATTCAGAGAAACTGCTATGTTTCACTGAGGGTTAATCCAGCCTCTAGTGGCTGTCTCACTGACAGCCGCTAGAGGAGCACACTGAACGTCCATAGGAAAGCATTGAATAATGCTTTCCTATGGGCGGTTTGAATGCGTGCGCGGTCGCATTCGGAGCTGAGAGGCTGAGGGATCCTCAGCGCCAAGGGAGTCCGGCGCTGGAGAAATGTAAGTGCTGAAGACACACACACTCTAACTTACAGACGCATACACACTAGCTAACAGACACACACATTTACTGACAGAGATACAGTCAGCGACAGACATACATACACACTCACTTACAAAACATACACTCTCATTGGCAAACACACACTCACTAACAGACATCAAACAGACTCACTAACACACACACACTCAGTAAGACACACACAGTAACACACTCACTGACACTCACTAGCAGACACACACACTAACACTCACATTAACACTCACTAGCAGACACACACTAACACTCACTCTAACACTCACACACACTAACACTCACTCTAACACTCACACACACTAACACTCACTCTAACACTCACACACACTAACACTCACTCTAACACTCACACATGATTTTTTTTTTTTTTAATATAATCCCCCCAGCCTCCTTACCTTTTGGAGTGCTGGGGGGGATTATTCCCTGGGGTCCAGTGGTGCTGCTGGGCTCCTGGGCGGGTGGCCGGTCGGGCAGGCAGGGAGGCGGGCGCGCGAGGGAGCACTCAGTGCTTCCTCTTCAGCTCCCTCGCGCGCCGCGTAGGGATGCCGGCGCCGGAAGATGACGTATCATTGCGGTGCACGAGGGAGCTGAAGAGGAAGCACTGAGTGCTCCCTCGCGCGCCCGCCTCCCTGCCTGCCCGACCTGCCACCCGGGGTCAGCAGGGCCAGCCTCAGGGGGGCCCTGGGGTGGTCGGCTCCTGGGCCCCCCAGGGGGAAGAGGCTGGCCCTGGGCGTACATACCGGGTCGCAGGGGCGGCCGGGCCCCCTGGTGGGCCGGGCCCGGTCGCAGTCGCGACCCCTGCGACCCTGGTATGTACGCCAGTGTCTCCAAGCCTGTCTCCATAATACCACTACACTTGGTGCCTGAAAATGTCTCTACAACACCACTACCCTCAGTGCCTGAGCCTGTCTCCACAACACCACTACCCTCGGTGCCTGAGCCTGTCTCCACAACATCACTACCCTCGGTGCCTGAGCTTGTCTTCACAACACCACTACCCTCGGTGGATGAGCCTATCTCCACAACACCACTACCCTCAGTGCCTGAGCCTGTCTCCACAACACCACTACACTCTGAAAGTGCTGAAAATGAATTATGTAGAGCAACAGACTGTGCAATATGCCTTTATCCACAACTCTAAGTCTACCAGATCCTACAGTAATCCATATGCCTTTCCTACTACGTCTCTGCGGGAGTAGCTTTGCAGCAGTTCCAGCCTTAGTTTGTTCACTATGAGGTGTGGCAGAGAGCATTATTCTGCTGAAAGAGGCCACAGCTACTACAGAATGCCATTGCCATGAACAAGTGTATGTAGTCTGCAACACAAGCTATCACAATTTTTCCTGCTTCCAACACATGAAGTTCAAGAACTGACTGTTCACTTGTTGCCTACTATATCCCACCCCTTCACAGGTGCCATTGTACCATTGTAACACTGTAATCAATGTTATTCACTTCACCTGTCAGTGGTGTGTGTGTGTATATAAGTATTTATATAAAATATGTGTGTGTGTGTGTTATAATATTTATGAATATATTTATGTACATACACTCATATTATGCAGTAGTGCACATCCAAGTGAAAGGCGGTTATTTGGAAAAATTGCTGAGTGTTCTAAAATAATGTGATTTACCAACGGAATGCATTTGATTGAGAGAGTTTTCTTCTATTCTATATAAAGATCACATATGGAACCTCAATAACAAAACTTCATAACATTTTATGTATATTTTGTAAGTTGCTATTTAATGCCAATATTATCTGGACATGCCTATTTTACATTACTAACATATGATGTGATTGATGTTTACGTAAGAGAGTACTAAAGCTTTACAGCATCAGACTCAATGTCTATATCACAAAATTTGAAATGTATTCAGTCTTCATTGTCATTCATGATGATTTTCTATGTATACGTGTTCAGGGTAAAATTCTTAGATTTAATTGATATTATGCATTTCTATATTTTCCTAATGCATGTTTTTGTTGTTGTTGTTGTTATGATCCCAACCTTTAATATATACAGTCGTTACATTCTGCCGTTACTGTTGGTGTATCGTTGAGGAGAGGCACATGTTTAACAGCTATAATTTAACAATTCATTCTTCACATAACTGTAGTTTGTGCCTTAATCCTAAATAACCCATAGAATAATGCAAGACTTTTTTGTTTTTTACATAGCCACTAATTTAATCAAGTTATTCATTATTCATACAATTTAGGGATAAATTCACCACTATGCACTATTTAGTGAATACATCTCTGAAAGATTTTGCTGTCAATTAATAAGACTGTTCATTCACAAAATACCAAACTGCAGTGAATCAAAAGCCGAACTGCCAAATCTAGGCAAAAAGTACTGATTTAGATTAATTCTCCAATTTAGCTATTGTCACCACTACTATTGAGTTTTTAGAGATTAACTCCTATAGTCTTTCTTATGAAAATAATTTTGGGATTATTCATTAATGCTGTACAATCTTTATATACGAGATTTCTTCATTCATTTAGAATGTTGATTTTGTACCAAAAAGTAAAAGTATAATTATTAGAATAAACCTCTGACATATTATTTTATATTCTCTAAGTCACTCCACCGCTGTGTCATTAGTTTTAATAAACAGTAGTAAGAACACTCCACAAAATCATATGTTATTGGCTTGCCCTGTGCTTTTCTGCCAGAAAGAAAATAATCTGTATTTCAACTACACATACTCCAGCTTCTGACATTTTTTCAATGACGGCGTTTATTCGTTAATCCTTGAATTGCCAGAAAGTTGTGCTACAATAATTAGACCAAAATGGCTAATCTAGAACAAATGACGCCCTGCAACCCGGTATGTACGCCAGTGTCACCGGGTGGGCTGGCGGGCGCTCTCTGCCCAGCTCCCTCGCGCACCGCACTGATGCCGGAGCTGGAATATGACGTCATATTCCAGCTCCAGCATCAGTAAGCGGCGTGCTCGAGGGAGCTGGGCAGAGAGCGCTCAGGAGAAAGTGCTCCCTCGTGCGCCTGCAGGACCGGCCGCCGGGCAGCTCCACTCGACCCCAGGGAATCCCCTCAGCACTCACAAAGGTAGGGAGGCTGGGGTATCACATTTAAAAAAAAAAAAAAGTGTGTGTGTATGTGTGTTAGTATTAGAGTGTGTGTGTTAGGTTTTGTGTCAGTGTGTGTGTTACTGTGTGTGTCTGCTAGTGAGTGTGTTAGTTTTTGTGTGTGTGTTACTGTGTGTGTTAGTTGTGTGTCAGCGAGTGTGTGTGTGTGTGTGTGTGTGTCAGTGAGTGTGTTACCGTGTGTGTGTGTTACTGAGTGTGGTTAAAACCCCTTCAGCACTTACCTTTCTCCAGTGCCGGGCTCCCTTGGCACTGGGGATCTCTCCGCCCCGATCCGCCTCTCAGCTCCGAATGCGCATGCGTGGCCGCGCACATTCAAACCGCCCATACTCAATGCTTTCCTATGGACATCCAGCGTCTTCACACTGTAATTTTCACAGTGAGAATCGCAGAGGCGCCTCTAGCGGCTGTCAGTGAAACAGCTACTAGAGGCTGGATTAACCCTTAGTGAAACATATCAGTTGCTCTGAAACTGCTATGTTTTCAGCTGCAGGGTGAAAACTAGAGGGACCTGGCACCCAGATCCTTTCATTGAGCTGAAGTGATTTGAGTGCCTATAGTGGTCCTTTAAGTGGATGTGTATCTGCATGCACTGGCGTGCATACCGCGTTCGCAGGGGTCGCAGCCCTGTGAACAGGTGCCCGTCACCATGTGTAGCGGCCCCGGCCCGCACAGAGTAAGCGGGGGGCATGGATCAATTTTTGCACAGGGGCCCCATGGATCGTGTGTATGCCACTGCCCACAAATCTACATTAGGAGCATTTCTGTACTTGAGGGAAATAGAATAGAAATATGGGGTCTTTATATTAGTGGGAAACACATGATCTATGAAATTATCCACGAAAATGAATTGTGTGAAAAACACAAATAATAAACATAACCAGAATATGTGGCAGAAGGTGTAGATAAAATGGTTAAATTAAAAGTGTCATTACCCTGGGGTGGTCTTCTTTCTACAAATATATACTTTATGTAGTAGTTTTAGATTATGTGGCTGCTATTAAAGTCATATTCTCAGCAGACAAAAATTTGCAAAGCCATAATTCCCTGCTGCAATATTTGTCCTGTAATTTCCAAATATTGTCTGACATAAAATAATCCAACAACCAGGACTAATAAGTAAATCTATTTTTAGTTACTTTTGTTTAGTTGTTTATGTAACATTGTGATATTCAAAAGCTAGTCTTCTTTTTATATATTTTCCCATTTTATTACAAATAGGCAGATATGAATGCTAGTATTGTAGCTTACACAAAAGCAAGGACATTAATTTAAGACAAGAACGAAGGGGGGACATTCTTACCTGCTACGCATAGTATCCATGGCAGCTGTTATTACTGAGTCCCAGGTAACCAGTATGGGAATCCTTTCACTCTGTAGTATAACCGCTCAGGCCGTATTGGGCAATAATCCAGTGCCCAAGAAGAGGCATCACTAGTGTTCAGAAATCCATAACCATTTTTGGAAAAGGTACATTGCCATCAATGCTGGGTCCAGTTATTTGTAACCTGCAATGTACAGTAGTACACCTTCTTGTAACAATTAAATGTTTAAACCTCCTCTTCTTCAATTCAGGTGTAGTAGCTCTAAATCTGATGTTGAAATAGGGATGTTTGGCTCTTTACGTATTGCTGTAAAAGCCTGCTTTGTCACGGTAACATGATTCTACCTGAGGTCACTTTTAATGAATATGTTTCAAATGATATATTGAATCCAGAAATCTGCACATTCTGCAGCATTGTGAGAGGAGATGTCCCCCAAACTCTATTTTTGGTGGCAGGAATGGGATCCACACATCAGCAGCTTCTTAAGCAGTTTAACAATTGTCTTATAATTTTCTGCACGAAGCTCTTAATATCTTAAATCTTCTTAACACTGTGAAACAAATCCGTGAAACTTTCCAGGAGAATCGATGACTGCCCCCCTGGCGTAATAATCCACTTTCTCACTGTAAGGGAAGAAAAATAGCAACAGATAAAAGAAACAGCAAGCCAAATCATTCTCAAAACCATCTGCTGCAATATGAATGCTGTAGAACGCAGGTTATTTTTATCTGTTTCTTCATCTTCTACTTGCATAATAATTCATGATAGACATTACTGCATATGGATATGGATTTCAAAAGGGATGTTAAAGTGTTGGGGTTCTGAAAATAATATCATATTACTGAGTAGATAAAATCTTTTGGTTAATATCTCTGACAAATGGTATAAGGCAATACAGAACATGATCATTATATTAAGTAAAAATAGAGGACATCGTTGTCTAATATCGCCACAGAGAGGTGGATACAAATTAATTGGACTGATCTTAAACATCAGATATAATTTATTCCTTATAGAACTTGCCTTGTGTCTGTGTGGTATTTGTGGTTTTTCTTACAAATATTTATGCCTTACACTATAGTGTTAGTCTACCTATGTAGATTATTGGGCTCCTCCAGAAGTAATACAAAAATAATTTTACTTACCTTTCTTTCCCTGATACGTCGATCTTATCACGATCACCCCACCTCCCTTAATTTTACATATCTCCTAACGCTCCCTATTTATCAGGGACTGTCCCTATGTTGGGCCCAAATCCTTTTTCTATTGTAATGCCCATCTTTTGTAGGAGTTCAGTATTCTTGGTGTGTGTGAGTCTTTAGCAGATACCAGTTGAGTCTAAAACACAGTTCCACAGCAATATCACACACTGTAATGTGTCTTTAAACTACAATAAATGTGTTTAGAAATCAGTCTGTGTAAATAAGACACATTGTTATTGTTCTTGTTCTAAATTACATTTTAATTCCATAAACCTATTTTATTTATTTATTATTTAGTTACCTAAAATTTCTCAGAACAGCCTGCCCACAACTCCACTCGCACCTCTAAACTGAAAGTATCGCTCTTTGTCAATTTAAAATGTTAGGCGTTATGCATTAGGCCTAAACTATATATAATCCAATTGTACTTGGGTTCTTAGGTAGAAATTTGTACCTTTTTTCAGATAAGTGTCCTCAAATATTTGTGTTAAGTAATTTCTGGTCCGAACAGGTTTGTAGTAAAAATACACATTGAATTAGAGCAGGGGTGGGCAAATGGTAAACCCCCAGATGCTGGAGAATTCCAACTACCATGATGCTCTGCCAGCCTTTACTGTAGAATGGCAAAGTATTATGGAATTTCCAGTTCTAGAACATGTAGGGATCTAGTGTTTGCCCACTTCTGCATTAGAGTGTACACCCTGAGAAAATTACCATCGAAATTTATTTTAAAAATATCAATAAAAAAGAGCTAAGCAATTAGCATTTTTGCTTTAGTATTAACTAGGTGTATGGAAAGATAGTCATAATTTATTTCTTCTCCATTATAACAAGTTATCTTAAAATCTCACAAAAGTACACAGAAAGACCTAAACAGAGGAAAGGGTGACACATCAGATATGTATTAGCAGGCATCCCAGTTGTCAGACACACAGATACCTTTGCTTACTTCATTAGACTATTAAGAAAGGTTGGGGGTGAAAGAGAGGTAAACCGATTGAGTACGGATAACTATTGAGTAAAAGTTGGTGAATAAATAAACTTCTGTGAGCAATAAAACAGGAAGGCGTAGCATGGAAATGTTGTAATAGGATAAAATGGGGTTTTTATATTGTAGAGAAATGTAGAACAGTAAAAATGTTGGTAGAGAGAATAACTGTGGTAAAACAAAAAGGACACTGTAGGCGCTATATCCTTTTTATCTCACAAATTGATTATTGTGCCTTGAGTCTCCTGGCACTCTCCTTCCATTCAGTAGTAAACCGTCTTCAAGCAGTTTAACACTGAATAAAGATTCCTGGCGCCCCACCCCGACTGCAGGTATGGCTAAGGCAGAGATTACACACTGCCTTGTAGCCATAACATCTCATACCTGCAGTGGCACTGTAATAAGCTGAAAGAAGTCAGCGGACACTTTCAACCAATCACAGCTGCTGCTCAGTCTGCTGAGGCTTGTGTTTCCTCGTTAGCACAAGTTGCACAGCAGGGATGGGTTAATGGCGACTCTTGTTTCACTTTAAAATTAAAAACTGTCTAATGCTGAATGGAAGGAAAGTGCCAGGGAACTCCAGCTACTATTACCACTTCAATTAGACAAAGACATTATGGTGCCTATAGTGTTCCTTTAGCATTGAGACAAGAGAAACTGGTACATTAACATGAATGGTAAAACATTGCTATAAAAGGCAGTCTTTCTATACGATAACAGGAAAAAAGCATCCTATGGATATCTGAAGTTTTCTAAACTGGTTATAATATAAAAGAACCTAAATGAATAATTTTATTCTCTTTAAAGTAAGATGTTTGAGGTTGTTCAAATATATCAGACATTTTTAATTGCATATGTAAAAAAAAAAAAACTGGTGGCAGGTGACAATACACGGTTTAAAAAGTTTATTATGGCAGAGTCAATTCTGGATAACATTTCCCTTTACACGAAGAATACCTTTAATTAACAGTGACAGTTTAAATTTAGAATTTGACACATTCCATTACAATATGTTGTGTCAGACTTCCCTAATTTCTCCTGCAAAGCAGAACCCCAAATCTCAAGTTGATGCAGGGAATGAAGCAACAGCTGTTGAATGCGTACATTTGGATGAGAAACGCCCCCTTGAGGATCTCGAGTGAGACAGGTAAGGATTTCTGCTGTGTTTGGGGAAAATGTAGCACAGTAATGTTTCTCTAATATTTGTAACTGCATTATGGAACATTAACCCCTTTCCTGCTCGAAACACGTCTGTTGTAAAAATGTGAAACAGTTATTATATTATGTTTTTTTGCATTAATTTGTTTTTGTTTCACAATACCTACCTGATCAGTGTGCCCACATGACTTTCGTCAATCTGGACAATGAGGCTTGCAGGCCCCATCTTAGCAACATGGTGGACGCAGCCCGATAACAGCGTCCCTATATATATATTAAAAAGACGCATTGTGTAATTTCTGGTCCTAGTTCGTCACTCGCAAGAGTGACCTCAACCAATCAGTAAGTACCTAAACATATGCAGCTTTTTAGCCCCATATGCTTTGTCCTGTTTCCTATAAGGTTATCTGAGAGTGCATTTATTGTCTGTTTTGTTTCCCTGTTATCTAACTTTAGCTTGTTTCTGACTCTTCCATTTTCTGTAACCCTTGACCTCAGCTTATTCCCTTGTTTGTGTTGTCTCTGTGTATTGTCCCTGAATTTGATAAGTTCCGTGACCATTCTCTTTTATAACATTAAATGGACACTATAGTAGAAGGGTGCAAATATTTGAAATATTTCAACTCCATATGGCTCTGAATAGAAGAAAACAATAAATTTAAAACAGTCTAACTATAAACAAAATACAATTTTAAGATAATTGCATACAAAAACACATAAAACGTATTCAAGTCATATTGAAATGTGCAAAAAATCTAAATAAGTTAGGGTTTGTCAAGTAGCCAATTTTATTACATATATGATCCAATGGGATACGAACAGTAGCAATGAAAACATTAAACTGAACTCAGACATAAAATGACAAGATTGAAAAGAAAACACGTTGTAACAGCATGGAGAAAGAAAAAACACTTCTGGATCTAAGTGACTAAACAAATGACGATTCATTAACAGATTCCAACATTTTCATAAAATACATTCAATAACTGTGTAACTTTCATTATATTTCGTCATAAAATGTATATTGAGGGTATCGTATCATTTGAACACCCTTGCTGCATGAATTATTATTAGATTTGTGCATTCATTTCTGTCCAAGTTGCAATTTTTCAGAATTTAAACCGATTGGCAGATCATCCAAATTCCATAACTTCGAAGCGCGATATGGATGCATACCCGAACAGCTTGCGCAATGGATGGGAATGTTTGTTAGATTTGTGATTCAGATTTCCAACCACAGACAAAAAAAATTAGATGATTGATGGGAAAAAAAGACAATTGTTATTAGAAAGCCACAAAATATTTATTTTATTTACAGATCAAGTAAATGATCGAAAGACAGAAAAAAGTAGAAACAATAAAAAAAGTCTGTATTTCTATTGCCTCTCGAGTTTAGCTCCACTGTGCTAACCAAACCAGGAAGTAACGTGACCAATTGTGTGCTTAAAGGCCAGGGGATGTAACCAGATTAATTTATAAAAGTGTCAATTTCTATTGAACTCTGCAATTTTTGAAAAATGAAAAAAAACAACAAAAAAAACAGACCCACTCTTCACACATAAAACTTTTCAGCAAGCTAAAGTGCTTTAGTGGTCTGGAGTGTCCCTTTAACCCCTTAAGAGCCAAACTTCTGGAATAAAAGGGAATCATGACATGTCACACATGTCATGTGTCCTTAAGGGGTTAAAGGGTATCACCATAGTCTGACTCACTGATGATGAAGGATGGTTGTCTGCATAAGCTGTTGAAGACAACTGGACATGTGTAAGATATAGGCTGTCCAGTCAGAGAACATCTCAGATATGATCAGTATGCCCCTAGAGGTTATTTTTGAAGTTCCCTACTTAACCCCCAGTAAATTGTCAGAATTTAATTTCAAGTGTATGATAGTTCAAAAGTCTGAAAATCTAATTTAATATCATTACTTACAAGGTAGCCTAATGGTATTGCACTCAGTTTGTAACGCAAAGGTTGTGAGTTTAATTCTGATGTGGAGAGGTGTTGTACCCAACAAAATTTTAAACCAGGTTGGCAGCACAAAGGGCAGAGACCATAACCACTAGGCTACAGTGGAACTCAGTTTTAAAACTAGTATGATGTGTTCTGCTGTGACTTTGTAATCCTATGGAAACACTGTGTATTTTCTGTAAATGTCTCCCTTATAAAGGGAAACATAAATTCTTCCTCAAACCACAGCACTTTGCGCTTTCTGGAAATGTATCCTTGCTGCCACACAGGGGCAGAACTACTGCAGGTGCAGCAGGTACAATGGCACTGGTGCCCACCAGAGTTTAGGGCCCATTCTTGGCTACCCATCAGAGAAGGTAGAGCAGGGACTCCAGCAGAGAGCTGAGGGTCAGGTAAGGTGAGGGGACGTAAGACCAGACCCAGGCTTTTTTATTACTCTCAGGCAAGGTCCCATGAGCAGCAGGAAGTATAGAATTCTGATCTAGTTGCTGCCCCAATCTAGTTCTCAGTTTGCCCTGGGAGTGGCCTCTGATATGCGGCACAGGAAAAAGCCATCCCCTTTGGTGGCTGAGAGTCTATCTGCCTTTCAGAAGAAAGGGAAGAGGAGTGCTTGTTGTCTGGCTGTAAAGGGTGGTAAATGTTATTTGCTACCTTAACCTTGGTACTTTCATTTATCAAATTAATTTAATTTGTCTGCCAAATTTCAAACATGTGTTGTATCTGTCTGGGAGCTGCATGGTGTGTGAATGTGGGTCTAAACATTTTGTGGTGTCCTGAGCCACTAGTTGGGCCAGGAGAGGTCTGCCAGGCAGTGAGGGCAGATTTATGTTAGGGATCAATTCTTTAGGAACCAGAATAGGGTCCTTTCACAGTGTGTGTGTGTGTAGCAAGAAGAAGGAGATGATCTATTTTTGGGATAAGGAAGTGGTTAATAGGAAGAGGAATGGGCCAATCTAAATTGGGAAGTGAGATGGTTATTTGGCAGGCAAATGTGGCAAATCTAACATGGAAATAGAGAGGGTTCGTAGGCAGGCACTTGTGACAAAATCTAATTTGTGCAGGAAGACGGTTAATTGCAGGTAAATGTGTCTGTCTAAATTTGCTTTGGAGAGGATGGAGGACTGGCATGGGGATGTTGAGTGACTATAGAGCTGAAGTGGGGACAATTTTGGTAAATTAGAGTTTAATTGTCTGGAGAGGTAGCCCCTCTCCAACAAAAGGTAGCACTAGGGACCTCTGTCAGGAGAAGGAAGGGGTTTATTAATTTTGTTACTGCTGCCAGACTATGCCAGATTTCCAGGTACAGTCCCATTATTGTATTATCCTGTATTGTCAAGTCTTTTTTTTAATAAAATTTATTTTTCTGTGTGATAATTGTAATAATTTCATATTTTAGCATAATTATTTGTATTACATAGGACGTACTTGAAAAACAGAGTAATCTGAATGTATCTTTTCTGGTTACATACTTTGTTGTTATTATTATTATTATTATTATTATAATAGTGTAACTCATTAGGCTAAGCAATGTTCTACACACAATTTCTTTGCAATGTGCTGGTAATATCTCCTGCAGTCAAGTATAAGAAAGTGTTTTTTTGTTGTTGTGGTTTTGTTGTTGTTGTGTTTTTTTTTTTTGTAAGCTATTTTCATATTCAATGAGTCCAATATACCAGGGGGTGGGGTTTCAAGAGAGAAGGGTTATAGTAAAATACTGTGAGTGTAGTCTTGTGCCTCACCATCTTAAAATTTCACCATCTGCAACCAGGCCCGACCTAGCCATCGGGCAAACTGTGCAAATGCCTGGTGGACCTAAATGGCCATGGACCGTGGCCAACAGGGGAAATCAGAGGAGCTGGCACTATCAAAGCGTTGGCTATGCGGTGTGCCATGACCGTCCAGTGTGGAGATCAAAGATCTCCCTCACCGGGTCCACTGGCACTTTACTGCGGCACCTGGCAGAGGAAGAAAAAGGGAGAAGACCCGGGAGCTCTAGCCTGCAGCTCCTCCGTGTTCTTCTTTTCGTGAAGTTGCTGCAGTTACCATGGCAATGCACAGAGGCTGAATTTCTGAGGAGGAGGAGCCGTGACAAGAGTTCACTTCCCACCAGGGCTTGCAGGAAATGTCCCCCTCCCTGAGTAAAGTTAAGGATGTAGTGGAGGGTATATATAACGTTTATTAGTATTGTTTAAAAATTCAATAATAATGCACCCCCCCCCCCACACACACACAATTTAAGCCTTCTAGCACTTTCAAACATTGCACCCATCAAACACACATACTGCACTCCTCACACTGCACTCCTCACAAATCTCACAAATTCACTACACCCCTCACACACACACCCAGCGATGTATTTTCCACAAGGCTAACAAGGCATTTGCCTTGGGCAGCACTTTGAGGGGGGCAGCTAAAAAGTTGCCCCCCCCCAAGCGCCATGACAGTTGCCTTGTTAGCCTCTTTCATGGGGCGTCCAAGAGCTGACCGGCTGTCCACCTTAGGGCCCCCCAGACACACTGCACCCCTCACACAATGCACCCCTCACACACACAGACTGCATCTCTGACAAACACACCTTGACTTAACGTACCCGAGAATAGTCTGAAAACTAGCCAAGGTCAGGGACACAGAACGATACACAGTGATAAGGAAAAGTCAAAAGTCAAGGGTACCAGAAATCATTGAAGTCAAAACGAAGTCAAAAACCAGAAAAACACAATCAGGAACACACTCTCGGATAACCATCTAGGGGAAACCATGACAGGGCAATGAGCTAAGTGAATATGAAAGTTTAAATAACCCCTTTGCAGATCCGATTGGCTGTACCAAGCCCTTGACCCCAAAACGTGCGTGTTCATCTTTTGCCTGACGTCACCCGTACATCAACGTTGTCTTTACCGTGGATGGACATGGGGCTATATAATTGCATGGGTCCGCAGAAGCCGGCGTCAAACGACATGCTGCAAAAGCCAGGCATGATAGCAGAAGACCACCGAGCGGCACTGCCCTCTATCTTCAGAAGGTAATTATCTCCGTTTTTGACACATGGTGACGAATAATACGTGACACTGCTACCACAAATATAGGCAGAACGTGGACTCCCAGAGGTACAGAGTCCATGGTTACAAGATATTGGCCTCCGTACAGGCCTGAGGCTGGAAGGTGGCCTTGTCTCACTCTCTTCATGAGTCAGGCTGGATATCTGGTTGATGCCCTTTTCCATGGCTGGAAAGGGTTTTTGCCTACTTGGACAGCTCTATTATTTTCATTCAGCGCTCTCTCTACTAATGATGGACACAATACTGCTTCTGTCTGTGCCTCCTAAGCCTATAGTTGATGTCTCTGCGTTCCTTATGTTTTTCTTGTAATTATCCATTATATTTCTTTTTTACTCTTATACAGTGCAATACCACTTTCTAGAATGCTAGGCTCAAAGGCTTATTGCCAGTGTAATTTCCCCTCATGCAAATTACACACCAGTTTTGAGTTCCACCTGCTCTGCCTGCCCACACAGTGGCCAGTTCCCAGTCATATCTAACCTAGGTTGTCCACATGACTCACAAGCATGTTTTCTTAACACCCCTTTATTCTAAGTTAGCCATGTGTCTAGCCATCTTACTCGATTGCAAGCTCACTATACCAACTAGGACTAGGCATGCATGTTTAATTTGTGACGATTTGCATTTTTTTTGCAATATATCTAAATAAAACAAAGAATGACACAAAAACAAGAAGAAAAACTACCACAACAAGAGGACATAGTCTTTAATTAGAGGGGCAAAGGTTTAAAAATAATATCAGGAAGTATTACTTTACTGAGAGGGTAGTGGATGCATGGAGTAGCCTTCCAGCTGAAGTGTTAGAGGTTAACATAGTGAGGGAGTTTAAGTAAGCATGGGATAGGCATAAGGCTAGCCTAGATTTAAGATAAGGCTAGGGACTAATGAAAGTATTTAGAAAATTTGGCAGACTAGATGGGCCGAATGGTTCTTAACTGCCATCCCATTCTTTGCTTCTATCACCACCAGATGGAACTATGTAGCTCATAGTATTTTGGTGCCACTAAATGAGGCATAGGTAGAGGGCTTGGCATCAACTCTGGTGATGGGAGTGGGTGATATATCTCTTTTTCTGGAAGATAGACCATTGTGAGTGGATGATGCCAAGTGTGGGAAGTTGATATAGGGTCAGCAGGCCATCTAAACATTACAATAATGGCACAACTGCGAGTAAACCATCAAACTCTGAGCAAACTTAGAGTGACAATTGTCTTCTGTTGACATTTTGATGCTTCTGAAATCTGTTTTCAACTTTTTTATTATTATAAAACATTTTTAGAAAATGTTAAATCTGTTTTCAACTTTTTATTATTACACAACTTTTAAGACATCCAGAAATATATATTTATATATTTTAGTTTAGCGGGATTATCAGAGAATTGACCGAAATGTGGGAAAAACACGTTTCTGATCTGGAAACAAATAAGTGTATTTAACAAATTCTTTCCAAAAGATCCATTTAAATTGATAATACACAGAAGCTCATTCCCTGCCAGATGCAGGACAAATAAAGGATTTCATTTTGTTTGTTTGTAGAAAAGCCTTCCTGTCAAGAGTAACCCTATAAATACATTTTAAATCACACTAAGCTGCCCCGAATAAAAAAAATACATCAATTTCTTATGTGTTTGAAAATTTACATTCATCTGGAAATAACCAGTGTATAATAGAGAAGCTGGGATAGATTTCTAAATACGTTGCAATTAAATAGTGAGGGCTGAGTACAAACCAGGATCGAAATGAAGATACATTAGATAATGCCAGCTAATAGTAGCAGTTATATGGCACATTAAAAATATTATTTAATGTAACACTAATATTAACCCGCTATAGTGTTCCTCTCCTTAGTCAGAAATAAGCCCCCACCCCTGTTTGCAATAAAAATATTTTACTTACTTTTTTCCAGCGCCGAAGCTCCCACTGCGCTACTTACTTCTCCACCTCCTGCAATGTGACAAAGGAGACATGGTCTCCTCTGCTGATGTCCAATCCAATGCTCTCTGCTGAATTAATGTCTTTCTATGGCGGCTTCCGCATCATATTAATACGTTTTACTCAGTCACTGCAATGGAAGCGCCTCTAGTGGCGATCATACAGACACCCACTATCATACAGACACCCACTAGAGGTGGACTTAAAGGACCACTATTGTGCCAGGAAAACATACTAGTTTTCCTGGCACTTTACTGCCCTGAGGGTGCCCCCACCCTCAGGGTCCCCCTCCCGCCGGGCTCTAGGGGGAGGAAGGGGTTAAACTTACCTCTTTCTCCAGCGCCGAGCGGGGAGCTCTCCTCCTCCTCTTCGGCTGAATGCGCATGCGCGGCAGGAGCTGCGCGCACATTCAGCCAGTCCATAGGAAAGCATTCACAATGCTTTCCTATGGAAGCTGGAGTCTTCTCACTGTGAAAATCACAGTGGGAAGCGCGGAAGCCCTCTAGCGGCTGTCAATGAGACAGCCACTAGAGGCTGGATTAACCCATAGGTAAACATAGCAGTTTCTCTGAAACCGCTATGTTTACAGAAAAAAGGGTTAATCCTAGCTGGACCAGGCACCCAGACCACTTCATTAAGCTGAAGTGGTCTGGGTGCCTATAGTGGTCCTTTAACCCTGCAATGTAAACATTGCAGTTTCTAAAAAAAAAAACTGCAATGTTTTACATTGCAGTGTTAAAAGGGACACTGCACACCCCCTACCTATGTAAGGTCTGGACAAGATGGCGGACACACCTGATACTGCTGCCACGTGAGACCCAAAGGTATCACTCATGGAGTGGTTAGACTGCATCTTTAAGGCTATTTGGCTGAGGCTGGCGGTACCCACAACTTCAAACCTGCAACTACGAAATAAAATGCCTCGATCTCCCACCTCTGGCGTGACCGTCATTGTAGCCGTTACCTGCAACTGTGTTACCAGGCTGAGGGCAGTGAGGGGGCTGTCCCTGGTGCTTGTCTCACACCTCCTGAGAAAACATGCACTCGACGCGAAGCTTCCCATTGTTCACGGTGCCCAGAGCAAATGGGTCAGTGGGGATCGCATATGAGGTCTTTTTTGAGGCCTGGGGCTGGCAGAGTAGATTGCTTTGGCTCACTGGAATTATGTCTGGCTTGGGGGATCGAAGACACATTTGGGTATCAGATGAATGCTGATGGTGCACATAGTAGAAGTTGTAGCTCTAGGCCTTCTCCTTAGCAGCTTAAAGTTGGCCTCGGTTTGTCCAGGTCGCATGCCCATCCCATAATGATATGTCTTACAGGAACACCATCATGATTTAATTTTCAAATTTTAATTTCTTATTTTGTTTATTTCCCTTGTCTTAAAGCTTAAATGTTGGTTACATGACATTGTAGCAGCGTGACCATTGGCATGGAAAGGTTCTTTGTCTCTCGTTATACGTTAACCCACACAGTTGTACATTTCAAGCAAACTCGCAATTTTGCTAGCTATCTTGGTGTTCCAGTTCATTTAAGCCATTGAGTACATACATGTAAGGATTGTTCCCTAGCATGATTTACTTTTTGTAAAGGATCCTGCTATCCCTGCAGAGCTGATCCTTGTAGCTTCTCCTGAAATCCCAGCTGAAGTAGAGCACAGCAGTGATTATAGCTCCCAATCCCCAAAACATGAGTCGAGACTTCATGAAGGGGTAAAACGATCTGGTTTAATGCTGGCCAAACTCAGCCTTTTATGATGGTCTCACAGCAAGGGAACTCTCACAAAGGACCTTGTGGGAAACTGTGACACAAAATACAGAACCAATCAGTGTACAGTCAGGGCCGTCTTTAGCGCGGGGCAAATGGGGCAGCTGCCCCGGGCCCAGTTGCTCCTGGGGGGCCCCAGAGCAGCTGCCCTGCGGGCCCCCGCGATTTGCGCAGCCCCCCTTGGATCCGGCGGTGCGGCTCTGTCCCACACGCTAAAGAGGGCCCCCGGGTGGCCCATGCACTAAGGGCCATCCGGTGGGCATTTGTCAGCTGGGGCCCGGTCGGGCGCTGTGACGCTTAAACAGCGTCACCGGGCCCCTTCCTGTTTGGCAGCCGGCTGGGAGGAAGTGAGTGTCGCGCGTCACTTCCTCCTACCGGAGATCAGAGCCGCGCGGGAGGAGGAAAGCAGGGAGGAGGGGAGTTTCAGAGGATAACTCCCAACTGCCTCAGCCTGCCATTGGACCCCAGGGAAACCACTCTCCAGAAAAGGTAAGGGTGGTTGGAGGGTGGCTAAATGTATGTCAGTATGTCTGTGTGTGTCAGACAGTATGTCTGTCTGTGTGTATGTCAGTATGTCTGTGTGTGTCAGTATGTCTGTGAGTGTGTGTGTCAGTATGTCTGTGTGTTATGTCAGTATGCCTGTGTGTGTCAGCATGTCTGTGTGTGTGTCAATAGTCTGTCAGTGTATGTGTGTCTGTGTGTGTGTCAGTATGTCTGTGTGTATGTCAGTATGTCTGTCTGTGTGTATGTCAGTATGCCTGTGTGTGTCAAATATCTGTCTGTGTGTGTGTGTCAGTATGTCTGTGTGTTTGTCAGTATGTCTGTGTGTTTGTCAGTATGTTTGTGTGTGTGTCAGTATGTATGTGTGTGTGTCAGTATGTCTGTCTGTGTGTCTGTCTGTGTGTCAGTGTGTGTATATCAGTATGCCTGTGTGTGCCTGTGTGTGTCAGCATGTCTGTGTGTGTCAATACTTCTCTCAGCGTATGTGTGTGTGTCAGTATTTCTGTCAGTTTATGTGTCTGTGTGTGTGTCAGTATGTTTGTCAGTGTATGTGTCTGTGTGTGTGTGTCAGTAAGTCTGCCTGTGTGTATGTCAGTATGCCTGTGTGTGTGTCAGTGTGTCTGTGTGTATGTCAGTATGCCTATGTGTGTCAGCATGTCTGTGTGTGTCAATACGTCTGTCTGTGTGTGTGTCAGTATTTCTATCAGTGTCTGTGTGTGTCAGTATATCTGTCAGTGTATGTGTCTGTGTGTGTATATATGTGTGTGTCAGTATGTCTGAATGTGTGTCAATATGTCTGCCAGTATATATTTGTGTGTCAGTGTATGTGTGTGTTAGTATGTATCTGTGAATGTTTTAATATGTCTGTCTGTGTGTGTATGTGTCAGTATGTCAGTGTGATTGGGGGTTGGGTGTAATTGGGGGCGAGGGGGGATTGGGAGGGCTGCAGGGCCCCAGGGGCCCAACAAAATTATTTGCCCAGGGTCCTATTCATATTATAGACGGCCTTGTGTACAGTACAATTATTAAACACACCCACAGTAACAGTAAAACCACACCTCTCTATTCTGGAGATAATTGGCTTAAGTGGTTGGAGAAAACCTAATTTTCTCCAGGTAGAGAGAAACATTTCGGTTTTACATTTTAACAAAACTGTATAAAAATCCATAACTCATATTTTGCCGAATAGAGTCCCCATGTCCAACGCACCCCCAGATAGCTCGGATCTGAGCGCACAATATAGCCAAATAGCGCTCAGATCCCGAGAAAACAGTTGAAATGCCATCTAGTCAAAGTTTTAGTTCACCGGCTGTTTTTGCAAAATGTATCCGAAAACAGCTCCGTGCTTCCAGCTATCTGGGGTTGGTCTCTTTCGTATGTTGAAAGTCCCGAACGGTTTAGTGTTCGTGCCTAAATAAACTAATGGGATGGAGGTTGGTGAGCTTCAGTGGCGTTCGTCTAAATAAGTGTCCGAAAATAGTTCCAGAGCATCGACGACAAACTACCATTCAGCGATTTAAAATGGCCGCCGCCACGCGTTAGGCAAACGGACGCCGGTTAACTGCAGCTTCTAGGGGGCTAATAAGCAGAACACTCCACAGACAGGGTGGTCGGCCGTTCAGCAGTTTATTCGGTAGTTTCCAATAAAAGGTGAATGAGCCTAAAAAACAAAAGGAACAAAATAAAGAAACTCTAAGTACTAAAAAACAAGCCCTTGGCGTTTCGTTCAGATAACTGAACTTCCTCAGGGTCAAAATGGTCAAGACAAATCTCCAAAAGTGCTGCAATGATTACACTTGCAGGGTTAAGGGTAGTGGGAGTTGGCACCCAGACCACTCCAATGGGCAGAAGTGGTCTGGGTGCCTGGAGTGTCCCTTTAAGAAACTTGATAAACCATTCTTAAACAATTTGACAAATAACTCTGAGAGGGTGCCAGGGCACCTACAGAGGGCTCTTTATAGTAGGGATATCTGTCAAGTGTTTTAGATTAGTTCTTTGTCGTGTTCATTGCTAATCTTTGGTAAAATGACAATGCCACTTTGTAAAGCTTCCGGTAGACCACATGAAATATTCTTTGTTTCCACATGTCTTTCATTCAGTTTGTCTCCTGAGAAATGTAATTGTTAATTACTGTAAACTCTCTGTGTGTGATACGTAAAGGTGAGTTTGGTTGTATTCCGTACTGTTCGAGACTAGTCGTTGGCATGGGATTGTATACGAAATCTACAAACATTCATTGTTCACAGCATTACTGATGCTGGAGACAGCGGAAATCACTGACTGGCATCATGTGTCTAGAAACTGGTACATTAATGAGGAAAAGGCCCAAAGTATCCGTACCTTTACCAGTTGAGACTTGTAAATGACGTACAAATATGATGGTATTTTAAATTAATATAAAAGTAAAGGTTTATTTCGCCAACGCAGGCTCAGAGCAAGCTGTTACCAACGTATGTTTCTCACAGCAAAACCAGGAGAAAAGTGAGAGAGGAAGACAGATTTAACCGTTTACCTCTATCTAGTGGGTGTTATCGGGAAGAGTATTGTATCTGTACCAAATTGTATCTTTTTATTCCAAACTCATCTGCTTTATAAAACTAAAAACTTTTCAAAGGCTTTTTTTTTTGCCAATATATTTAGAGAAGGCATGTGCTTACAGGTTTATATGCACCTGAGAAGGCTTTTACTTATTGTAGCTGGCAGTAAAGGTCAGGAAAAGGGATATGGGAGTATCTCACACATGTGTAAGTTTTATATAAACATAGAAAAATGTTATTGTGTGTAAAAGGGGTTGGGTGAGTAAATAACCGGGTATTGTATGTAAATTGAGTTTATAAATATGAAATACCTCTTTGTATTGTATGTAAAGCAAATGTAGGAGTGTGCATGCAACATTATTTGAGGCTGCGGATGGTAGAGGGGTGTCTGAGAAGGTCCTGGGCACATATCTAATTTATGGTGAGATCCTGCCTGCAGATTATCAGGACAGGCTTAGACAGTATTGGGTTTATATGTAATGTACAGTGAGCTCCTGGCTGCAGATTAGCAGGACAGGCTCACACAGCGCTGAGTTTATATGTAATATAGGGTGAGCTTGTGGCAGCTGAAAATCAGGACAGGCTCAGACAGTGCTGGGTTTATATGTAATGTAGTGTGAGGACAGGCTCAGTCAGTATTTGGTTTATATGTAATATAGGGTGAGCTCCTGGCTGCAGACTACTAGGACAGGCTCACACAGCGCTGGGTTTATATGTAATGTAGGATGAGATCCTGGCAGCAGATTATCAGGGCAGGCTCAGACAGTATTGGGTTTATATGTAATATAGGGTGAGTTTCTGGCTGCAGATTATTTGGACAGGCTCACACAGCGATGGGTTTATATGTAATATAGGGTGAGCTCCTGGCTGCAAACTATCAGGACAGGCTCAGACAGCGCGTCGTTTATATGTAATGTAAGATGAGCTCCTGGCTGCAGAGTATCAGGACAGGTTCACACAGCGATGGGTTTATATGTAATATAGGGTGAGCTCCTGGCTGCAGACTATCAGGACAGGCTCAGGTAGTGCTGGGTTTACATGTAATGTAGGGTGAACTCCTGGCTGCAGCTTATCAGGACAGGCTCCAACAGTGCTGGGTTTATATGTAATGTAGGGTGAGGACAGGCTCAGACAGTGCCGGGTTTATATGTAATATAGAATGAGATCCTGGCAGCAGATTATCAGGGCAGGCTCAGACAGTATTGGGTTTATATGTAATATAGAATGAGATCCTGGCAGCAGATTATCAGGGCAGGCTCAGACAGTATTGGGTTTATATGTAATATAGGGTGAGTTTCTGGCCGCAGATTATCTGGACAGGCTCACACAGCGCTGGGTTTATATGTAATATAGGGTGAGCTCCTGGCTGCAGACTATCAGGACAGGCTCAGACAGCGCATTGTTTATATGTAATGTAAGGTGAGCTCCTGGCTGCAGATTATCAGGACAGGTTCACACAGCGATGGGTTTATATGTAATATAGGGTGAGTTTCTGGCTGCAGACTATCAGGACAGGCTCAGGTAGTGCTGGGTTTATATGTATTATAGGGTGAGATCCTGGCAGCAGATTATCAGGACAGGCTCAGACAGCGCTGGGATGTTATTGTAATCTATTATCATTTTTATATAACAGTTGTTATGCATGACTTTCTAGCACCCTTTCTCATAGACAGTAAAAGGATTTGTGATTGACAACATTTCTGTCAATACAGAAGTGATGTATACTGGCATCTTCACAGAACCTCCTCAGTCTGCCCCTGCCTCTTCTGCATCATAAACAATATGTATGTACTAATCTAAACTTCTTACAGGCTATAGTAGGGAATTTAATGGTAACTAGCTATGAAATGGTTAACCGTGCGTTTTAAAGCCGCAGCCGGCACAGCCTGACTCAGAGATATTCATAGCTCCTACAACCAGCTGTGTCGTCAACTCAGGGGTTCAGGCATATTATTATATCAATTAGCATCTTAATGAACTGAGCAGCATCATCTAAAACTGAGCTTGGAAGGAGAGCTATGGGTGCAGGCTTCCACAGTGTGAAACCTCTAAAACTAGAAGGCAAGGGGAGCTTTTTTGTGCAAACTCTTTTATTACCTCTAGTCTTTATTACCTCTAGTCTGGCTTTTAGAAGACCTAAGATTTTGGAGTCATGCTAAAAGTACACCGCAAACAAATCACATGGAACCCTAAGCTCTTCCTATTTTTGGATTACAAGAATTGCAGGCCCCCCCAACAATCCCAATTATGGCAGGACAGTCCTGATTTTGGAGTCCTGTCCCAATGTCCCGATTTAGTTGTTTGGTGTCCTGTAGGGGGACACCAGGGAATTGTTCTTGAGCATCACAGAGCAAGGGCATCATCATCACTGCAGTGTAATGGAGGCCAACCAGACAGACCCATGTGGTCCTTCAATGGGCATGCTCAATTATAGGTGATACCCCCTCTTAGGTCCGCACACCCTGGTGCGAGGTATGAAGTATAATAAGAACGCTCATGGACCATATGTAACACCACCTGATGCAGTTAAAATGCCAATGTCACTTTTTATTTATTTATTTTTTACAAGGATTTTTATGAAGTCTTGCTCAATTTGCACTGGAATTTCAGTAAAATATGGATTAGTTTACATGATATTGGACCCAATTTCCTTGGCAAAATATGGCTATTGGTAGACAGAGGAGGCTCTAATATTCAACTCACCTCATCACTCCTGCTCCATAATCTCCATCAGTCACATTAGTTCAGCCGTTTAATCCCCTCATGGCCCACTCATAATGTTAATAATAATTACATAACCACTCATCCCTCAGCCAACCATCACATCACCCGACTTCCTAATCCACTCATAACCAATATCCCCACAAACCCTTCAACTAACAAATATAATACTATATTCCCTTCAATCCTTATCACATTGTCCTAATACCCTTAATCCGCACAGCCTACCCCATAAACACCTCACCCAATCCCTGTAATTCCTTAATTAGCCCGAGTAACATTATTGCATGCCTGTAATTGCCTCATCATCCCCAGCCCAGAACAATACTCCTCCTATGTAATCCCCTTACCATCCAATATACTGATCACTTTACGCTATCACAATAATTCCTCACTTATGATGGCTGATGGGAACAAGCATCTTCTTTTGAGATGCTGGCACCTTGTTGGTCATTAACCAAATCTATAGAAGCTTGGTCAGAACTTCCTTAGAATTTTATTTTCCACTCTGAATAGATTAAGCCACCAGGTGTTGAACACCAGGATGAAGAAGTTGGCAGTTGTAAAGAGCAAGATGTTCAGGTAGATATGTCTACTTTTTCCCTCCTTCTTCACCCTTTGTAGGATCAATTGGTGGGATATAAAACATTCAATTTATGTCTTTTATCTTAACATATCTCAGACAGGGTTTCCTATATTAGCAACATAAATTTTTGTCACATATAGTTGGATATATAGGATATATCAATCATAGGTAAGTGAGAATGCATACATCATTATGTTTATAGGTATTTGTTATGACCCTGATTGTATTTCGGAACATACAACTTTTTAAAAATTCTATCATAATGTATAAACTATAATCATAAACCGACAGGTACAGTTGCATAAAACATCTGCATTACATGGGACATTGTAGGTCTACAAAGAATCCATGGAATTTCTTTGAGCTCTGGACTGAATCGGGACTGAAGGAAGAAGCTCGCATAACCAGTCCTTACATAGAGCAATGGCACTTACTCATCTAGAGTGGATATTAAGGTGCTCCTTAAAGACAAAGACAAAGGGCATCTTTGTTGGATCACTGGATCTAGAGATACTTGAAGAAAAGATTAAGGCGAAAGATTCATATTACATGCATCCAAAACAAGTCTTAACAGATTGTCACTGCACAGCTACAGTACCCCTATCATTGATCTCCGCTTCCTGGTGCTGGTCTAGAAGGGATAGAATATTTATATACCAAAGGAAGCTACCACCTGGCTAAACCTCGCCTGGCCACAGAGGTCATTAAAAGTGATTGTTCAACTAAAGCAACAGTTAAACAGCAGTGCTCAATAGCAAGAGAGACATGGATATCCCTCATACAATTTCCCATCCCTTGCAATGACTTTTTGCCATATTATCTCCTTTAAATGGAGGTTGCCTCTAAGACATATTACTTAAGAGACCACTTAATGAAATATCATAGATCTTGGACAGGAAACAAGGGTGGAATGGTGGTAAAGCTTCAAGACTTTTCTCAATCTCAGGCACTTTTATAGGCCCTAGATATTGATTTATCCAAAAGTGACTCGCAAAGATTTCAATTGCAGCTGTCTGGGATGTAGATAGTGTTTCCCTTTTATTTATTTTTTGTCAATCTCTTTTTTTATTTGGGGTAAGGAGGAATAAGATCACACATATAAAAGAGTTATAACAAACATTCACACGTGTATACAAGCTTAGCATGAAGAAAAACAGGAGTACTGCATTGCTAATTAGTGCAAGGGAATAAACTCCTAGTTAAGTCTGCCTCTTTTTTTTTAAATTAGGGAGATAACAGGTAGGTACATATGGCTATTCAGGATTAGGATGGTAGGAAACAAAAAGCATGGTATAGGCTCATTGTACAGAAAGGGTTATTAATAAGATCACTTTATAACATGCTATAGAAATAGGTAATAGGCTGAAAATTACCACTGGGAAGAAAACTAAAATAAGTTAAAAGACAACAGGCCAATAGCAATATAAAAACATAAGAGCAAGATGGCGTCCACTGAAAGCATGTTAACTCTAATCCTAAGCAGGTGACCTTCAGGGAACGAGGGGTCTCCAATCATCCGATTCCAGAAATCGGGAAGCATCTGGGATTCACAATAGGGTGGCAGAAGGCAGCTGTGAAACGGGATCGAGGTATGGCATATGATGAGTAAATTTGCCATCTCTCGGCCACAGACTTGGGGACTCGCAGAGTCCAAGGCCTTCCCATGCATGGGAGAGCAGAAGGACGCACTCGTTTCTTGCCACTTTCAGTGGACAGTCCTTTGCCGGTGTGGGCGATTCTTTGAGGCCAAAGCCCTACTGACCTTCAGCCCAGGTGGGAGAATAGTGGTAAGGACTGGCACTTGCATGCATGCTAAATCCTGGAGGGGGCCCCCTCACTTCTTGCTGCTCACTCCACTGATCACCCCCCCAGAGGCAAGTGGGGTGCTGCAGCTGTATGCACGTCCACAGCAGCCCAAAATCTCTCAAAAATTGCGTCCAGCTTTTTGAGGGATCCATCGATTGCCCTGGGTTGAATGGTCTGAAGAAGAATAAGGCTTTCCCTGATTAGAGAGAAGGTTTCTGCCATCTTTGTGAGTTGGAGAAAAGTATGTTTAGGTAGTCCAGTCCAGTGGGGGCCAGGATACCCCCACCGACAGAGAGGATGGAACAGTGGAAGATTTCTGCAAGGGTCAATGCCACACCGACTAGGGAGAGCGGCCGCCTCTCCCGCGCAGCTCTGCACTAGGCCCCACAGTTTCTCCAAAGAGATCTGCTGACTGGCACCATGTGGTACCGATCCAGGTCATTCTGGCTGGTACAGTCGACAGGTAGGGCTGTTTTAGTGCTAGCTGAGATTGCTGGTATACAGAAAAATGGTTGATTGAATCATGAAGATGAGGAGCTCCAGGAAGATGCATCTGGCCACCATGAAGCTCAAGCCCTGCCCCCTAGTGTTTCCCTTTTCAAAAAGGATTCCAATGTCAAAGACAAAGCAAACGCTAATGATGGCAATCAGTCACACAATTCTATGAAGTCCAAGGGCTATGACATAATGAATGTGCTAGGTCAGAGAGGTCATTTTAAAGCAACTTTTTTCTTTTACAAATGTCTTTGGTTTTATCTGTCATAGATTTCTTGGATGCAGTCAAACTGTACTTTCTCGCTAATCGGCGTTTCTTACTTGTGGTTACTTCGCCTCTCTCTCTCCCGACACTTTGATTTCAAAGCGATGTATCAATTTGTATTATATATTCTCATGCTCCATTTGCTCTGGCTGACTAATCTTCGGCAGCATTTACTCTGCTACGTACATATTATGTTCTTTGGACTTAACTTGAAAACTATTATAAAAATTGTAGTAGGGGATTTTATTTACCATTGTAATTTTGTTTTTGCCTGACAAGCTCAACTACTCAATAAAAAAATGTGATTACAAAAAAAAGTGGTATAATCCCAGTAGCAGCTGTATTATTATATTTTGAGTGGAATAGTTTTTACATATATTATACAGCTAGAAATATTTAATATTATGGACACTTCTAATAATTGGTTCAACACAAATTTGAAACACCCCTGCATCTAATTTCACAGGTCCCCTTTAGGTAGGTAGACAATTAATCTATTTGTTGTGCTGTATAAACCATAAGCAAATATACAGATTAAAGATATTTAAATCAAACTATATATTCTATTTGCTAGCTATAATAATAGCTTTGTTACCCTGGCTGATTCTGTCTCAAGCTCCATTTATAGACTTTTGGTAAATGTTAAAGTAATTAATGAATATATCTTCCTATATATTGTTTATGTTCTTTCTTGCTTAGTTCTAATTAACTGGTTAATTTCGCTTAAGATTTACCAAAGAGCGAAGACAACTCCTGAAAACCAGCCCACACAAATGTACTGTCAGTTCAAAATTGTATAACTACATTATGCTCGACTAAAATGCTTTATTTGTGCAAACCATTTAGTTCAACATTGTAACTGCAATTTAAATATATATACTGAAAGACAGAATGTGTAGGAGACCGTGTGGACAAACTCCATACAAGAGCATGTACAACACAGCTTCCGCTTGTGATGTAAGTGAATGAAGAGGTGGGCTTATTGCTACATTCTTGCATGTAATTAAGCAACTGTGTGCAGGGACCTAGTGACAAGGGTCCTCCTTGCAAGCAGTAAGAAACATCTCTCTAACAAATGCACTAGTTCTCTTTAAAGGGATACTATAGTGCTAGGAATCAGTGTTAATTGTGCCAACTAAAAATTTTAGTAAAATTTTAGTCAACTAAAAGTTTTGAGATTTCGTCCACTAAAACGAGAGTAAAACTAAACTAATTCAGATGACTAAAATACTTCTAAAGTTATAATGGCTCTTTACTCAAAAGACTATGACTAAAACTAAATTGAAATTTGCCACCAAAATTAACACTGCGCAGAGGGGCTGTGAAAGGGGAAAGAGAGACAGACCAGGGATTGGGAGAAAGACACCTACTATAGCTCCCTCATGCCCCACACTTCTCCCTTGTGCCTCTTCCAATTGCATAGTAAGGGTTAAAATACTTTTACTGTACTTACCTGATTCTAGCACCGATGTCCCTCGGCGCTCGGTTGGTGCTCTGCCAACTCCGATGTCGCCCAATGGGGGGTGGCTAATGCGCATGGGTTATGCGCATGACGCCACCAGCACATTAGGCCATTACTATAGGAAAGCATTGCTGCAATGCTTTCATGTGGGGCATTGACTGATGCTGGATGTCCTCATGCAGAGTATGAGGATGTTCATTGTCAGTTAGACCAGTGTTTCCCAACCCAGTCCTCAAGGCACACCTACCAGTCCAGGATTTAGGGATTACCCAGTTGTGTCTAAGGTGTTTTTACAAAGAAGAAGGTGTGCCTTGAGGACTGGGTTGGGAAACACTGAGTTAGACGACCAAAAATCGCCTGACCACCAGGCAGTGTCTTTAGAGGCCACTAGAGGCAGTTTAAACCCTGCAAGGTAATTCTAGCAGTTTCTCAAAAACTGCAATAATTACCATTCCAGGGTTAAGGAGACAGGGACCCAAATGAAAAGTGGTCTGGGTGCCAGTAGTGTTCCTTTAACTTGCAAAGAAAACTGAATGTGATTTGAGGAATCTTCACTCCCTTTATGTGCCAGTATTGGAAGAGAAGCTTATGTATGTCCTTAAATAGAATACTTCACAGCACAATGTATTTCATACACATCTGGCAATGAAGGGGTATACAATAAGACTTATCAAGTCCAACATCTGATTTTTTCTTTTTTTTTTAAATTTATTTAAGAAGATTATGACGCCACTGAGCATCTGTTGAAAGAATTGGTCTCCATCTCCCACATGTGCCACAATAATTGAACTTCATCCTATATTCTATAAATAGCATGAGCTGCTTTTTTTCCCTTTTACTTAAAATTACCTTTTTTTTCCGCATTATACTGTGCACGGTTATATACTCTCATGCATAATACAGTGAGGTGGGAGCTGTTAATATGGTGCTTTAACGAACACAATGGGGTCTCTTTGTCAAAAGTTCTTATTTCTCTTACATGAGATAAATACAGAATCTTTTTGTGTCGTTCCTTGGTGCATATTAATCAAGCAAGGAGAAATGTTAGACATGTTGATGAATTACCTCCATAGAATAACATAGATGTCTTGTTCTTACAACATGACAGAAATTAGAACCTTTGATTTACAGATCCCAGAGAACATTGCACCTGTCTCCACAGCGTGTTCTATAATGTTTCTGACAGTTTAAGTAACAAAGGTGGAAATTTTACTGGATGAAACGGAAACTTTCAAAAACATTAAATTATAATTAATGATAAAAAATGCTTGATTAAACAATTTTTTTTCCTCCACAAAAGGATCCAAAAATGCTTTGTGGATATATCGTTTTGGAAATAGGTAACTGACTGTTGTCATTAACCAACTCACTAGTGATCATTCTATCACAGTATAAGATTATCTATTGCTACAGTGATGGGTGAATTTATGAAACCAAAAATTGTGAAGAACTGGCCAAGTTCAAAAGAGTGTTAAAGGGACACTATAGTCACCCAGACCACTTCAGCTCAATGAAGTGGTCTGGGTGCCAGGTCCCCCAGCTTTTAACCCTTCAGATGTAAACATAGCAGTTTTAGAGAAACTGCTATGTTTACATTGCAGGGTTAATCCAACCTCTAGTGGCTGTCCTCCTGACAGCCGCTAGAGGCGCTCCTGCGATGCTGGATGCGAAAATCACATCCAGCGTGCAGAACGTCGATATAAAAGCATTGAGAAATGCTTCCCTGTGGACTGTTTGAATGCGCGCGAGGCTCTTGCCATGCATGCGCATTCCGCTCCACTCAGAATTGTCCATTACAAGCCACTGGTGCTTCTTTTTAATCTGTTTTATATGTTTCTGCCAATCCCAGATTTACCGTTGGACACGTTGCTATCTATTAATCCAAGGGTATGTGCCTTCCTGTTACGACAGGCACCCAGTTTATTTCTTTTGTTTCTGTAGTTTATTTGTGAAACGATTTAGGGTTGTAGAAGTTTTCAAAAATATGTTAATTGTTTTAAGGGAAAAAAAAACCAACAGGTTTATTGTACCTTATTTTAATGAATTCTAATAATTAACATTAATTCAAAAATATCTTGTTACTTATACAATTGATGAACGCACATGTAAATAGCTACTAAAGGCAGCTGTTGTGGGGGGTGGGGGGAAAGGTTAACGTGGATCCACAATATAGACCAGCCATAAAGGTTCTCTGACTCTTTTCATCTGTACACACATGGGCCAATTGTGATCATAGAGCTTTGCTATTAAAACGGTTTTGTGTGATTAGGCCAGGAAAAATAAATTGAAGTCTGCCATAAGGATCAATCAATTGGTGGCTCCTCACACGAGTACTGCTTTTCTATTGGCAGAAATACTTTAAATATTCTGGGTGTGATGCAGAAGTTTAAAGGACCACTATAGTGCCAGGAAGACAAACTCATTTTCCTGGCACTATAATATTAATAGGTCCCCCCCACCATCATGGCCCCCCTCCCGCCAGATTGAAGTTGGAGGTAGGGGTTAAACACTTACCTTTCTCCAGCGCCGGCCTCCCTCTGCACTGGGGATGCTCCTCCTCCTTTCGATGTCATCGGCTGAATGCGCATGCGCGGCAAGAGCCGCGCACGCATTCAGTCACTCCATACTAAAGCGTTACTGAATGCTTTCCTATGGACGCTGGCGTCTTCTCACTGTGAAAATCACAGTGAGAAGTGCGGAAGCGCCTCTAGTAGCTGTCAGTGAGACAGCCACTAGAAGCTGGATTAACCCATATTTAAACATAGCAGTTTTTCTGAAACTATGTTTTCAGCAGGCAGGGTTAATCCTAGACTTCACTGAGCTAAAGTGGTCTGGGTGCCTATAGCGGTCCTTTAAAGAAAAGAATATATACTTCCCATTCAGCACATAAGGGAGCTAAACATTAAAAGCAACATGTAAATCACCTTTATTTTCTGAAACAGCAAAGGAAAGCTCAGTTTTAACATGTATACCTTTGTATAGAAGCATAAAGAAGCATGTACCAGCAGACTTTCTATTTAATAGACTTTTTTTTGCTATGGAATGACTTCTTCGTGCAGTGCTTGACACATTTTCTTTGAATCTAGAAGCCAGCTAAAAAAGTTAGCTACCAGGTTTTTGTTAACTAACAAAACTTTATTTTCAAACTACAAAAATACATTGCTTAAAGGGACACTATAGTCACCAGAGCCACTACAGCTTAACGTAGTGGTTCTCTAGTCTATAGCCTGTACCTGCAGGCTTTTCAAGGTAAACACTGCTTTTTCAGAGAAAAGACAGTGTTTACATTGCTGCTTATTAACACCTTTAGTGGCAATCACTCAGACAGCCACTAAAGGTGCTTCTTATCTCAGTGCTGCACACTCTGCATGGAGGCGTAAAACGTTCCTTATAAAGATAGATTGTTTCAATGCAATTCTATGAAGAGATGCTGATTGGTGCAGCATTTTGAGCATGTGCAGTAGCTTCCCAATGCTTTTCTATGGGAAGGCATTTGATTGGCTAAAATCATCAATCTTGAGCCATGGAGGCAAGGCCAGCCACATCAAGATCGGCACAGCGTGAGAAAAAAAGGTATGTAAACACCTTTCTCATGCAATCTGAGGGGCAGTCACCTAAACCAACACACCTACTGACATACACACACATTAATTGACAGACACACATACTGCCATGACACACACACGGACACACTCACTGACAGACAGAGACACACACACATTCTGACAGACACACTCACTGACAGACACACACAGTCACTGACAGACAGACAAACAGACACATACACTTACTGACAGACATACACATTCACTGACAGACAGACAGACACACCCATTATCTTACACACTCACAAATGACGTTATAATTAAATTTGGGAGAGTTGGAGTGGTTCCTTTCCCTGGGGACCAGTGTGGCTGCTGAAAATATATATTTTTTACATTTATTTTTTAAATTTTGTGAAAATTTTTTAAATACATTATCTGTATAATGCCTTAAGAAAATAGGGGCCATTTTTAATGCATAGTTCTATGTGTTTTAGCAGAGAAGAGGTTAAATGCCAAAACATTTAAGTGTGAGATGGGAGCACAAAGTTTGCTTGACAATAATATTAATAATGTTGTAAAGTGCAGAAGAATCTGTTGGCACTATATAAATGCTAATAATAATAATAATAATAAATTGCACCAAACTTGGATGACATTGATTGGCTGCAATGTGTTGGCCCAGCACTCTCAGTAAATCTATGCTGGGCTGTAGTGGCTATGTTGATTAGAATGCCCCTCCTGGTACATAAAAGCAATATCAATAATTATGAGATTTAAATTTATTTTTGTAGCAAGTTACTAGTAAACTGGCTAAGGTGGCTTCCATGCTCAATTCTAAATGATCAATTCAGAAATAAAGCACTTCTGTTTAAATATACAAATATTATTTTTATAATACATTGCTTGTAAACTGTTGTATTTTTCCTAATTTATTTTCATTGAACGATGACTTACATGAAAAACAAATTGTGCCAGGAAAGATTATGCATTATAAAATTAATATAGATTATTGTGTAGAATTAATTATAGGCATTGTGAATCTGCTGCCATGTATTGATATACAGTTTCTCTTATAAAATATGTCCATATTCCTAATTTCTTTTATCCTTTTTTTTTTATGATAAATACTGTTCATTTAACCAATATGTTTTCTTGTTGTTGTTGTTTTTTTTGTTGTTGTTGCAGTTGAAACAAATGCAATAAAATTGTACCCATAGGATGTACGATTCACAACAGCTTAATTGTGAATGAGGTTAGATAAAGATCAAGTCTTTTTTTAGCAGCTGGTTACCATAGGAACACTAAACAGTAAAACAATATTTTTACCTATAATTTATTCTTGTAATGTATACATGGATACAAAGAATTGCATAATCTGGCAGTACGTTCAAGCGAATGTTGCTTTTCTTGCCAAATCTGTATTAAAGATACATTCATTATGTCTATATGACCTCTAGACCTCGTATGTTGGCCCAGCAGTGGTTACTGACACGTGGTGGGAATGGTTTAGTTATCTGCACATGTCAATACTCCGTTAGTGTTCCTCAGATGTAAGTGTCGCTCTTCTATGTGGCCATTTACATCCCTTCGTGTGTCTCTCTCTGAAGTTTCAGGCTGGGATTGCTTGCATTGATGGAAAAATAATAGCGTCAGTGTATCGATCCTGTATGTGCTGTTATAGCCCCAAGATAGAGACAAACAGCCAAAGAGAAAGAGATGTGGAGAGAGGGGACAGAGAGAGGGGGAAGCAACTACTGATAAAAGGAGATAATGAAGGAAAGAAAAACAGAACGCGAAGGAAAAAGAGAATAAAAAAAAAGTTAAATGTACTTTAAAAAAGTAATGAAAAAATAGTGAAAATAGGATGAGAAATGGGTCTAGTACTCAAAAAAACACAATACATAATGCGTGATAGAATATAACTGTGATACTAAAATGACAATTACAAGGTATATTCTGGTAGCCTAGGTTACGCGGCCAACAATATCAGGGTCGGAGATTCTTAGCATTATCTCATAAATTCAATGTCATATGGGTTATTTTAGACAACTTGTTCAGCTGGAGAAGCCCTGTGTTTATATAACCTTCAATCGAGGAGTTCAGGAATATCTAGTAACTTTTATGTATTTATATTTATCGGTAGTGTTAAATCAGTTTGCTAGAAAAAAAAAACCAAAAAAGGTAACAGAAGTTGTCAAGTTTAATTTGACAGGGAACTGCAAATTTTAGGAGAAAAATTGTAATTTTCATGTAATACTCCAAGTCATGTACATATATTTAGTTCGGTTATTTAAGTGTTTTCCTGGCACTATAGATTTCCCCTTTGTCAAGCCCCCCCCCGCCCCCCCCCCCCCGGCACTTAAGGGGTTAATAAGTCACTTATCTGGGTCAGACTCAGCTCTGCCCACGCTCCTCCCCTGCCACCGGCCGCCTGCGAGGGAGACCTAATGCGCTTGCGCGGAAATGGCTGCACTTGCATTAGGATCTCCCCATAGAAAAGCATTATTCAATGCTTTCCTATGGGGAAAATCTGATGCTGGAAGTCCTCATTCTGAACGGGAGGACGTCCAGCGTCTGATAACAGAAAAAAATTCCGTTTCAGTTTCGGAAGTGCTTCTAGTGGCTGTCTGGTAGACAGCCACTATAGGAGAAGTGAACCCTCAGAGGTAATTACTGCAGTTTAAAAAAAAAAAAACTGCAATAATTACACTACATGGTTATGGGTGATGGGAGTTTGCACCCAGACCACTTCAATGAGCTGAAGTGGTCTGGGTGCCTACAGTGTCCCTTTAAGTTTTCAATTGGAGCATTTACATTATGTTCCAATACAATGGTTAAACCTTTGTGCAATTAATTTGTTAGAAAGGAATTAGCATTATGAAGGGCCGTTTAAAGCACCCTTACATGTTTGGTGAAATTTGTAAGTTAGATAAAAGTTTGTTTTAAAAAGCCATATGGCCATCTTTTTTTGCTCCTTCTTTTTAATCTGTAGAACTTAATTTTTATTCCAAAAGCACTACTGTAAATGTTATACTGGAGGGTATAGTTCTTTCACTCCGGTTTGGTAAAGGAATCTCAATTGTTATTTTTTTCAAGATATAGGCATACACACGATGCCTAGCAAAGGTTTGTTAGGTATGGGGTCTTTGTGTGTAATGGTGGCTACACAATATTAAGCTTTAGAATTTGTATGAGCCCAGCAAAGGACAACATTACTATCTAAGCATCGACAACACCAACAATGAGAACAGGTTCCATTGCTAATATGGATAATGGTGGAAGACACAGTGGCATCGCTATGGTTGGTGTCACCCATGGTGTCACTTCAACCCTCTTAGTAATGTGTTTTTTATGTTCAGTTATGTGCAGAGTACATGAATGTATTACAGACCTCCTCTGTATTTTGAGTGTGATATTATGTGTGTTTGACTGTGTGTTTGACTGTGTTGGTTGATGAGTGTGATGTGCGTGGGATCTATGTGTGATTGGCTGAATGTGCTATGAGTGTGGTTGGCTGAGTGTGATTGTGTATGGTGGCTGTGTGTGAGAAGCTGAGTGTGTGTGGGGGTTGTGTGTTCCTAAATAAAAAAAAAAGTTAATTTAGTAATAGGGTTTTCTTATCTGTTGTTTCTTTTGCATGCTAATCATAATTTTTTAATATATGCCATTTTCAGAACAATTAAATATCCCCCACAGAGTTATACAAACACATATACACACATTCATACACTCACATACAAAGACATACAGACACTTACACAAAAGACATATAAAGAAACACATAAACACTCTCATACAGACACTGGTTGACCTGTGTCTATATAAGTGTGTGTGTCTGTCTATGACTCTCAAATAGAGACACATCATCACAGAGGCATATACACACTCATGCAGACACACACTCATACTGAAACATAGTAATATAGACAGAGGCGGCTCTCTAATTAGGCGGTTAAGGTGGCCGCCTAATACCTTGCCCTGGTTAGGGCCTCACGGCTGCCTAAACCACCTGTGGGCAGACTGTGTCAGGTCCTGACACCAGGAGGGGGCCCAGCAGCTTGCCCGGTATGCCGTCGGGTGCGAGGCCCCTCCTGGCTGCCCGGCCAGCCACCGCAGACACCATTCTGCAGCTCCACAGTGAGCAGAGCTGCAGTCAGATCATGTGTCTCGCGAAAACCGGCCAATCAGAGCGTTGCCGCGGGTTACCACGGCAACGCTCTGATGGTCCCGTGAGATTACATGGTCTGCAGCTCTGCGGAGCTGCAGATCGGAAGCAATGGCCACCGGACCACCAGGGAACCCACTGGACCACCAGGGAGTAAAGGTAGGCTCTCTCACCCCCTACCACCCCACCCTCAGCCCCACCACCCTCAGCCTCACCCCCCCAGCCTCACCACCACCCTCAGCCACACCACCCCCCCACCACACTCAGCCTCACCACCACCCTCAGTCTCCCAACCACCCTCAGCCTCACAACCCCCCTCACCACCCTCAGCTTCACCCCCCACCACCCTCAGCCTCACCACCACCCTCAGCCTCACCACCCCCACCAACCTCAGCATCACTACCACCCACCACCCTGAGCCTCACCACCCCCACCACCCCTCAGCCTCCCCACCACCCTCAGCCCTCACCACTCCCACCACCATCAGTATCACCACCCACCACCCTCAGAGCACTCACCACAGCCTCACCACCCTCAGCCTCCACACCCCTCCCCCCCCCCCCCCCCCCCCCCCCCCCCCCCCCCCCCCCCCCCCCCCCCCCCCCCCCCCCCCCCCCCCCCCCCCCCCCCCCCACCACCCTCAGCATCACCACCCTCAGCATCAGCCCTTCACCATCAACCCCCCTCCCTCAACATCTACATCAACCCCCCTCCTTCTCACATCATCCCCTCCTTCTCCCATCACCCCCCCTCCTTCTCCACATCACCCTCCATTCTCTCATCACCCCCCTCATTCTCACATCACCCCCTCCCTTCTCATCACCCCTCCTTCTCACTTCACCCCCCTCCATCCCCTTCTCACATCACCCCCCTCCTTCTCACATCCCCCTCTCCTTCTCACATTGCTTCGCCTCTCCCTCTCAACACCCCCCCCTCCCTCTCACCATCACCCCCCCATACACACAACACACTTCAAGCAGCTACCCCATACACATACGGTCTCAGACAAAAACGCAAACATGCTCACAGAGACATACATTCACACACACAAGGATACTCTCTGTCAGACACACTCTCTGGCACATACACATGTAGACAGTGACTCAATGTGTATATGTGACACTTTTTTGTTAGTGGGGCCTCATGTTTGAGTTTCGCCTAAGGCCTCATAAAGTCTAGAGCCGCCTCTGAATATAGACAGACATATACACACTCATGCGGACATAGTTATACAGAAATTCATACAGACACATATATACACACATACTGACATACAGTCAACCAGGCACATGAACAAACTCTTACAGAGACACGGTCATACAGACACACGTGCACCCACTGAAGTTAAGGCAGGAAAGTATAAAATAAAGTCTGCACTGTGCACTTATAAATAACGTTATAGAAATGTACTATAGTAATGTGCAGCGACCGATGGCAAGTTTCTCAAGAGGACTCCTCACCTTAGGGCCCAGTGGGACAGGCAGGGACAGAAAAAGCGGCATACTACAGAAGAGACCACCAGAATATAGTTACTCAGGTTGCCCAGTATACTACAAAAACCTGCATGCCAGATTCTTCTTCTTCCTCCTCTGCCAGGCTGCCTGTCACAGTGCCTGTCCTCCCTGCAGCGATGTGTCGGATCATCGAGGGATCTATTGCGCTATGGCTGCCATTGCACCCTCAAGTGAAGTGACACCAGGAGGACTACTAGAGTAGGAGAAGTTCCTCCCTAGTGGTGTCACCCCCTGGAGAATGTCAGGTATGGTCCGCACCCATCGTGCCCCGCTAGTGACACCACTGAGAAGACATAAGAATGCCAGAGCAAGTCAAAGGAAAATGTGACACCAAATAAAGAACTATTAAGACTAGCTTAATTAGAACAACTGAAACAGGCTCCTGGAGATACCTTCTGCTCCGAAGGAAATATGAGACATGTTTTAGGGACAGAGAGGTATGACGGGATGTAATGCTTGAAGTGAGACATATTCAATCAGAAGATGAGGATAAAATGAGATAGACAGGAATGGGTAGACAGAAGGAGAAAAGGAGAGGTTAAAAGAGAGAAACATTGGAACAACTAAACAAAAATTATATCTTCACAAAGTATTACTGGCTGAAAACCTGATACAAGAATTACAAAAACACTGGATTTCCTCATAAGAAGTAAGCCTTGAAGTGCCGTAAATCAAAGTTCCTTACCTCTATACGTGAATGCTGAGACACTGTAAATGGTCTCCTAATGCTAATCCTGTAATGTTATCCTGGGATAGCCCAACTCAGGGGTCAGCAAAATGTGGCACAATTGGCTTTCAGATCCTACTGCAGAATAGGATGCGCAACACCCCTCCTTCTTGATGAGCTGTATAACAACTCCTTGGGAAGAATTGGAAACTGTTACCTTTTCACAAATGTCCCTATACTCTTCAGGCATAATTAAAAAAAAAAAAGACAAATATAGGATATTTTCTGAGCATAAATAGCATTCATATTTGTATATTTCATTCTAGCATTATGAAAAGAGAATTTTATGTCCTTTTATATATTCTAATCATTAACTTTCTTTTTATTCCTGACAGGTTGTAATTTAATATGTCTTTGAAAATATTTAAACATATAACTTTTATTTAAATAAACTCCCATGAACGCCCCTGTATTCCTTAGCCCTTTTTAGCACAATGTAGCTATGCTTTAGTTTTGTCAAAGCGGTGACCGCTGGTGAAGCTTTAAGATGGTGGGGCACCAGACTCCTCCCCCGCAATTTTATTTTCCTCCCTCTACAGTACAGAGATACTCATAGAATACAGAGAGCTGAGAATAACAAAGATACTCATACAATAAAACAAGCTGGGCACAACATTTTTTATATTAATTATATATTTGAGTAAATTTCCTTGCTTAATCAGCACTCAGGCAGTCACTAAGGCTATTGGGGGAAATAAAAAGATAATATTAAACACTTACATTTGGCAGAGGCCAGGAGATGCTGCTGTTGAGCTCACCCTGTGAGCTTCTAAGATGGCTTCTTGCTTCTCTCTCTAGTGGGCACTATAGCCTCAGCCCCTCATGCTATCAGCCGATGATGGCCCCTGAATACAGAGGCCAATAGCATGCTTTCACTCATGGGCAACTGGTTCTGCTGCCCGAATGGCAACAAATTACTTCTAGAAGGACACTAGGCATGTGCAAAACCTGCTGAAACAGGGCAAGTTCCAAACCAGCCCCAGTTTATGCCATGCATAGATGCTCTCAAGTAAGCTTTTCCAAACAACTACCAATAAGGTGGCAGAGGTCATGCAGAACTAAAACCTATGACATAATTATAGAGACACTACTTTTTCCCATATTTTTGGCTTACAACCTTCCCTCTGGAAAAAATAATGCTCTAAACTACTGCAAATATTTTTTGCACACACATAAAAACAGGGACCAGTATAGAGACTGAATTATGAAGAATCTAAGATTTTTTGAGAAAATATTTGTGATTTTTGTAATTTAAAATTGCGATTGTGCATGGAGGGGGGTGGTGCTTAACCATGGAGCCGATTGAACGCCATTCTCCACGGCTCCCCAGCATTAATGGGCAATCCTCCAAATATCACAGGGACAGGTGACCATCACCCGTAAGACCTACAGCCACGGCTTCAGGACTCAGAGGGCTTTCCACCTATTCCCTTTTTGGATGCACAAACGGGCAAAAAAACGACGCAAATATCGGGTCTATGTCACCCTCCCACTGGTGTCGCAACTACCCGCGTCGTTCTTCCCGGGCCTAGATGACTGGTCCCAACAGCCGAGGAACAGCAGGTACACCCAAGGACTCCCGAGATATAGGGGCCCTACTGCAAGACATTCAAGCCGCAAGATGTCGGCTGAATAGGACCCTAAGACTGGCTCCATATGCTCAGAACAGCTGTTAGAGGTAAACAGAACAGACCGGTGATCAGAGTCCCCCAGCAGCCCACAAGCAGAATGGGATGACTCAGCCCCAGCGACCAAAAATGATATCAGGCACCTACTGCAAGAAATTAAGCAGATGTTTGATGCTGACATAAACCTTGTGAGAACAAAAATGCAGGCAGTGACAGAACAGGTACAGGCCTCTGAAGAGGACATATTAGACCTCAGACAAGAGGTACAAAGCACGATGGACACCCTGCAACACTTACAGTCTGCAAACACAGCATTTCAAAACACACTAGACGCCAATGAAAACCGCAGCAGGTGCATGAATATCAAAATTCAGGGAATCCCTGACACAATCGGACCAACAGAATTGCCACAGTTCTCTTGCTGCACACTCAAGCTAGAAAGCTTGAATTCGACGGCCATTTTCGCATAAACAAGGCCAAACGGGCACCCACAACGGCTCCAAGGGACATCATAGTCCGTTGCCACTCCATGTCAGACAAACGCTGCAAATTAGCAGTGGTAAGAGTCTTCACAACTCACCTTTTTCCAAGACCTTGGCAGTTATCAGCAGAGAAGATGTCCTAAAACTCTCCACACTATCGGAGGCCCCTGCCTTCCTCCAAAAATTGGGACTAACACTGATCACCCCAACACCGGGACACCATCAACCCATCCCTGTGGGATCCAGAGAGAACTGTTCCATTCTTCCTCAGGAGTAGCCGGAGGCAGGAGGCGGTGACCTGAACACCTCACAAAATGCATATTACTAGTTTCCATGTTCTGCTGTTCTCCTGTCTAAGTTTACCCTACTGTTCTCTCTACACTCCAAGTTTAGTTACTGTTTCCCCTTAAACAGGTCGTGATACAACCCCCCCCCCATGACCCACAACACTATCCACCAATCCACGCACCTCACACTCGACACACAACCTCTGCTAAGGCTCTGATAGAGGCCCTAGTCTTACACAGGGGCACAAACGCCAACTTATAACGCGATAAACTACAAAACTAACCTACCACATTATGCCCCCTTCCCAAGCAACAGAGGATTGTGACACCCAACCACTCAAAAGAACATAACACAGACCATGCACTCGCCTTAATTACACCCTAATCCCCATATGGGTACCAATAGCATGAGCACACTCGCCTCGCATAAAAAATTGTGCGATTGTGCGAAGAGAGTTTATTCCATGAGTACAGTATTAGAGTGAAAATGAACAAGGCTGTAAAAGATCACATGTGTTGTAAGGGTTGTGGACGTAAGGTATACAGAAGGGAAAGAGAGCGGGCTGAGTTTTGTTAAAACAGACTTAAGGAGGGATGAGTGGAGTGAATAATAATTATAATCAGACTGTTTTAATGATAAATAAATGTGTATTGCACCAACTTAAAATATAGGCAGAAAAAAACTAAACAGTCTGTAAATGGCATTAAGCCTTAGTTTATAACATTCCATACCTCTGCTAGGACAGTCCTTGTCCTGATGTTGCAGGTTTGCTCTCTGGGGTCATGTGTCTACAGATACCAGAGACCAAGTCCCCATAAGGCACTGCAGAACTGTACTATTGAATGCGTTCTTGCTATACAATCTACACTGACAGCGTATAGCCCATGGACAGAATGATTTAATGTCACTCTGTGCATGTGCGGCCATATTCTTGGAGCTTTCCTGACTTTTTTTTTGGATCCATTACTATGGGCATCACTAGTGGTGTTACTGCATCATTAGCATATCACCTTACACCAGTCCCCAATGCCAGTTTCATACCTTCCAAGTTGAGAGGTATGGCATTCTATCTTTAAAATATAATGCACACCAATCCTTGGTCTCAATTTAATATTTTTAAAAAGCCATCTCATATGATCACAATCTGTTCCTCACCCTTTTCTTTATGAGAAGTGTTGCAGAATATTTTGGTGGCATATAAATAATAATAACAATATAAATAAAAACATTTCTACCAGATTGTGAACAATTTCGAAAGCTTATCCAAAAATATTAAATCGAGGTCCTTGTTTGCATGGCTTTGCTATCTTATATGCAGCTTCAACTCCTATGTATGTTAAACATAAAGCGCTACGGAATCTGTTGACGCTATATAAATCGCAATAATAATAATAAATGTTTCGTTAGAATTAAAGTTAAAGAAATTAAAGAATTTGTCTTGTTTGCTATTGTGCAGCACTGCAGAATATGTTGGTGCTATGTAAATAATTGTACATATCATAATTTTTGTTGGTGCAGGCACCATCCATCATAGGATGGACAACAAAAACTTACATAGTCATATAGGCTGAAAAAAAATATTCAAAAAAATCTAATTCAGCCTTTTCACACAGCTCTGTGTCAGCTGTTAAAAAACCCCAAAACCTAGCCTGAAGTGTTTTTCAATTTTGCCACAAAATGGCGGGCAGGGGGATATATTTTTATTCCAACTTGGCAGTCAGATTTCTTATTGATCAACAAGCTGTACACAACCTTCTAAACACTTGGTTCGCAACAATACAGATACAGGTGATACATTTGTTCTGCGTCCCTCCAATCCTCTCTGTAACTAACTGTCTAAAACAGGGGGGAAAGGATCTGAAATGCTGGCATATATCGCTTTTCCATGCTCTGAAGAATATATTTACATTTTTTAACAGTAATAGAAAAAAAAAATATAAAAACATAAACATAAATAATACAAATAATTAGGACAAAACTTCCATCCTTAATAAAACAAAGCATCATAAGTGCTCACTACGTGTTGGTGATTTATATTACGCACTGCATATGAAGGTAAAGCATGGTGTGCAGACCAAACGAAAAAAAGCATCAGGAGAGATCTTTAAAGTTTCTGTGTTGAATTTAGGGATTAATGTCTGTAATGACTTTGTGAACATCTTTCCAAAACTCCTGAATTCATGGACATATATGAATGTAAGTGCCTACCTGTCCACAACCACTAACATAAACTAGATGAATTTGGGCAGATTTTCTGAAGTCTAAATGGGGTTAAATACCATCTATATAGCACCGTGAAGTGTTTTTCTAAATGTGTTGAACATTGCGTAATGCCTTTCAAATTTAAATCAATGCTCAGCCAATCCTCCAAAGACCATTCCTTCTGAAGATCCCTTCCCCATGCAATTTTAAAGTCCAACTTAGCTTGGGGCCTAGCATTAATAACCAAATACAATCTCATGTTATGGGGCAGCCGAATCGTCCAAATTATATTTCAGCTGAAGTTTATCAAATCACATCATCCAAATTAGTAAGAGAGTAAATCCACATCAACCCTAGGTGTATCATACTTTAGAACAGATGTTGGCGTAGATCTAGACCACAAAACACTACACTTAACTTCCTTATACATGATATCCCAAGTCATGTATAAGGAAGTTAAAGATATACCTTTAAAGTCATCTTGGTAGTGGGAATTGTTTCCCTAATCTTAGGCAGTAACTTATGTGGAAGCCATAATACCTCTTTAATTAAATGGGTAAGTGATTTATCTCTCTTGGTCAAAAACTAGTGAGGCAAGTTGGTGTCCGAATTGAATTTAAAAACCTGGGCAGAATTTGCTGCAAAGTAATAATTTCTGAAGTTGGGCACACCCAAGCCACCATGCGTTTTAAGGTCCTGCAACACAGACATCCTTATTCTACTAGGTTTATTCGATCAGATGTACGGTTTTATGGCTGTGTGGATCTTCCTTAAAAATGATAATAGAACCGACATTGGAATGCCACGTAAAAAATACAAAACCTATGGATGGACATTCATCTTCTATCATCTTCAAACAAATCCTACCCAGCCATGATATTTCCAATTCCTTCCAACTCTGTCTGTAAACCTGGCCAAACTTTCGCGAGAATACACACATGCATTTTCAACAGGTTTTTGTTAAGAGTAATGCTAAAATAAGGAATGTGCCTCAACTCAAAATTTGAGGTAGCCCACACTGCTTGACTTTTAGTTTCATTCAATTTAGATAAGACGTACCGTCACCAAATTGTTTTAATATGGACATTATGGAATGAAGTGAGGAAGTGGCATTTCTTAAAGACAATACAACATCGTCTGCAAATATTCCAATTTTATGCATGATATTTTTATTTTAATATTTTCTTTTGTTGGATTATTTCTAATTAATTTGGTAAAGATTTCTTTATGGAATACTCATATTGAGTATGTAGGTAATTCATTGAAATTCTAATGCAGTCAAAAAGATATCATAAGACACATTGTGCACTAGTCTTATGGTAAAGCCCAACGGTGACAAAACTCGACAAAGGGTGGAGCTTCCACTGTCAGATTTTGTCACTTCCCTCAGCCGTCACTAGTGCCGAATGTGGTAATAAGGCTTCTTCTTACAGACTTAGTCTGTGAAGGAACCTGTGGTGTTTATATTATAGTACTTACACGGCTCCTCACAGATAAAGCACCAGGGGCTTAGGACAGAAGATGGCCACACCCCAGAGAGGCAGCTTAAGATAAATATAACTACCCTCCTCTGTTGCCCCAAAATATGCAGAGAAACCACCCTAACTAACAACTGAGGAATATTTACACACAGCTACATATAATTAAGTTAAAATGACCACCTTCAGAAAGTTTTAAACTATACAGTAATATTTTTTTGGGGGACGATGGAATTTTTGGGGGCTTGTTATCAAAGAGCCCATCTATATATTTTCACTTAAACCCCTCAGAATACCTGTTTGAATAAACTATAATAATGTAGACAACGGAGCTCACAATTTAATGCTATCTCTAAATGTTACAGTCAATGTAAAGACATCAAGTAAAATAGCATATAACATAGCAACCAAGAAACATATTTACACTATTATGTTGTATTTGAAATATTAGATATTTTTGTTGTATTTTTCCAAACATTAGACTATACAATTAAAAAAATTTTAAAAAATGTTGATTTGATTTTACAGCACCAGATCAGCCTGAGTGTTTGATTCATTATTAAAATAACCAGAGCACATCAAATGAAGGTGTTGAGATTTTAAGAAATCAATTCTGAAGATCTGATGCAGAAATGTTCTTATTGCACCCCGGAATGTATTAGGGGATATTTGTTCCACGGCACATATGCTATATCATCTGTAGAGTATTAAAAAGTGCACTATGTGATCCGGCAATAGGAAAGTATAGTAAACCATTGAAACCTACAACAAGATGTTGAATACATACATTCTAAACTTTTTTGGCAAATAATGTTATACTGATTTTAAGATGTCATCACATACAGGGTTCCAAGGCGTTAAAGCAGCTGGGGAAGGAAGGGTTAAGTGGCTCTTAACTGAACTGCCATCAGATTCTGTGTTTCTATGGAAATATATGAGAAATGGTTTGGGTTTCAAATATGGCTTCTAAAACGAAGTGCTTGCCTTGACATTTATCTTAAACTGTAGCAAAGTTTTACCCAAAATACTATTGGATTAATGGACCCATTATCTCATGTAATTACATTTTTCCATCATGGTGGTGTTAATTGTTCCAAAAGCTGCAGAAGGGGAAGTGATGGCAGAATTATCTTGTAGCTCTTTTTTACGTGGAAAATGAGTTGCATTAAAAATAGTTTTAAAAAAAACCTTTACATTTTTTTTTTAAATAAATATTCTTTATATAGCCAGGATCAGTATTAAGATACAACAAAAGATGGGAAATAACTTTTGTCTACAATAAAATAGTCACTGGAAGGTTTATTGGAAACTAGGCGGCTTATTCACTATTCATCAAATTGTAGTAGAGTGATTACCAGCTTGCAAAATGTAGACAAAAAAATGTCAGTTTGGAGAAATTCACTACAGCTTTTAGAATTAATTTTGTGGTTCAGTTTTCAATTCAGTACAATTTGGTGTTTAGTAAATCAACGATTAGGTTTAAATTGTATAAGGCTTGGTTGCAGGATTTTATAATTATTTTTAATCCTGTCCTAATTGGATTTATTTAACCCTGTGTTCACATCCCTGCTGATACCTAAAGGTTATGCAAAAGACCACCATGAAAGCAAATCAATACACAATCTTGTCTTTTCAAGAGTAACAACTGATATGTGCTCAGTATTACAAACCTATTAAATGCAAAAGTTAATTTTCTTCAACTCCAAAAGTATTTTTCCTTGCATTAGAACTGTGCTTAAAATACATGGTTAACTAATACATGTACCACGGAGATATAAAAATAACTGCTTGATGTTAATATAATTATTACCTTTCCATGCCTGTCTTTATGATACTAGAAAAGTTATATAATTACTGCACAGTAAGCTGGCATATTAACGTTAACAGTATATTGTGTCTCTCGCTCCGTCTCCTTGTGTGTTTTTTATTACATAAGCAAACACCCATCATTTTCATCTGTTAGGCACGTACATATAATATCTATTGTTTCCGAGGTTTTTTTTCTGTTAATATACTTATGCATTTATTTGACATTAAAAACAACTACCTGAGAATAATTCTACAAATTACAACACTTTCTAGAAAGACACAAGTACATATTATGCAATAGGTATATATATATTGAGAGAGAGAGAGAGATAAATATGGTGAATATATAATCTCAAATATAATTAATAGGCACACACACAGATAAATATGTATTATAAATATATTCAGTATAGATATACACATATTGTTCTAAAATGGATATATTTAGTTATTTATGTAAGTAAATAATATTGACATACTATATATATTTTTGTAACTAGTGCGGTTGTTCATCTACACACACCTCTGTATATCATATTGCCCATAAATATGAGGAAAAGTCATCCCAGACCTGCACATCATGCCCCAGTTACCTACAGCATTGTGCAGTAAGGCACCAAACTCCCAAAACATTTGTAAAAAGTAGAATGTCTTACCCGAGTACTGTCGGAGATGTGCCCAGGCTGTCTGTGGAACTGGCACTATGTGGGTGCAGATACACTTTCATTACATCCCCCTGACTTTCTCCTCCCAAATCTCTAACTTTCCTCAGCACCGAAACAAAAAATGCGAGCAGAATGTTCCTAAGGCGACACGTATCATCTGACTTGGATAATTCCTTACTCCCACTAATATTTACCCGTTTTCTATTCCACCCTTTTGTCTGTTAATCCGCTAATTCTGACACTTCTGATACATTTACTATGTCTCCTCTCTGTCCTCTTTTTAGTGACTTCCCTTGGTTTCTCTTGCAGTGCTGCCCTTCTCAATCTCTCTACCTGTCATCATGTCCTTTGATTTATGCTTTTCTAACGCTCTCTCTCCTATTTGTATATTTTTAAGTCTTCCCTTGCATTATCCTCACTATCCTTTTCTCTCTGTCCTGCTTGAAAATATTCTCTTTTTCCTTTCTTTTCTCAGCGGACACTTTTCTTCAGTTCCCTCTCCCTGTGTCTCTCCGTGTCTCTCTCTGCTGCCTCTCTGTGCCCCCTCTCTTTCACTCTCTCTCTTTCTCTCTGCATCTGAGCAGTTTGTGGTTGTGCAGAGGAATCTGACAGCACAGGGCTGGGTGATCTTCATCCTACATGTGATCACAGCTGTGTATTCACAATGCAGCCTGGCAGGAGATAACAGGGCTGTGGACTCTTAGGGCCATGTATTAAGAAATACAGTTTTATAGTCACCTGCAAATTGTGACAGTTGATCTCGTACAAAAACTAATTCTCATACTGTTACGCTATTCTTCTGTAAAGAGGCCGAATGTTTCCCCAAGGCATATTCTAAATATCCAGTGATGGCCATTCAAGGTTTCTGGTGTCTGTGACATTAGATGCAATCTATACGGATCTATTTGTATTAATTACAGAGTGAGCACTCGACCTTTAATCCTAAATAATAAAGGGTTAATATGAGCACAAACCCACAATCTGGACAATGCAAGAAATAGAACTGATAAACTGTCCATCACTGTGTCAACGTCATGGAGCAATCTTTCTGTTTAGGGAAGTACACGGGTAAGAAGTGACAACATTTCGACCAAGAACAGCACTTGACTAAAATGATGTCAGTTGTTATGTGTGTTCCTGACAAGGTAAAAAAAATCGTAACTGGATTTCAAGTAGCACTGAAAGTTTATTTTTTTTTAAAATATTGTTTCTTGAAATTTTATATTGTATTATTTTTAAATATCAGACCTGTTTTGACTGTGATATCGGCCTTTGTTTATGCTCATGATAGGTTAAGACTTCTCAAAACTTTTATGGAATCAAAGAAAACCTTTGAATAAGTTATTTTATTGACATTCTCAAAAATGCCTACTTTTATGTTCTTCATACAATAACTCCTGGCTATCCCGGTGATACATACTGTATAAGAAGTAACCACTTCATATTACGGTTTCATGAGAGTACCTAAGTTAATAGTCCATTATAGTTCTGTTGTATGTCATCGTTCAGTCTCTGGGTATGACATAGTTAGTGATGCCATACTCAAGATAATTTGGGAAATCCGTTATATTCATTTGTATTATAAAAAGAATTCTTAGAACAACAATACACCAGGATAATTTTCTCAAAATGAACATTGTTTCCATTAGGAGCAGGTCATCACAGCACAATCTGTGCAACATTAATGCTTCCTAATTTAGTGCTGGTTTCTCTAGAGTGCAGAGTAATGATTCATGCCTCTAGGCCTGCTACTGGTGCAATAATAACGAACTGGACGCCTGCGGTTCTGTATTTGAATGGAACACGTGTTTTTTCGAGCTAGTCAATCCATTCAATGTAAGCACTCATTTTATATAAGATTTACTATGATAACTGTTTCAACAAGGTCCCTATATAACTCAGTCATATTGTAGAAACGTATCAGGGATTACCTGAAGTGATCTCTGGCTGCTAAAAAAAATTGTAACCTCTTAACCTAAGGTCTCCGTTACTGAGATAGAGCTTGTTCCTATTCAGATTTAATTTCTGGCCCACAAATTTGCTAACTGAGTATACTTAGTGATAAAGTTCTATCTGCACACCCTCAGACACTGAAAGTGATTTGGGCCACTGGAGACAAAAATCACTCTGCCCTCCTCCACTAGACTTCCAGGTTTTGCCAACCATAACTGTAACCTCTTACGAGTTGTAAACCTGGTTTACTGTCAGTAGGGGATGTGAACCCCATAAATATTGCAAGATACAGCTGTTATTACTGAAAAAAGCCTGTAGAATCAAAGGGATGTCTTTCTTGCATTCTGATTTATCTTGACCAGTCAGTGATCAGTATATAGTATGACCAATACATAGCCCCTAGGTGTTAGAATGTCCTGAGGCTTTCTGCTTGTGAGTCTTACTATATTGTAGTGAATTATTTACAAGAAGGTAGGTAGTGACTAGCCATAGGGGAGCTGACTGTGGTACTAAAGTGCCATCTATATAACAATATTTAATCTAATTTCCTGAATATATTAGAATGAGTTAGAAACCTATCTTTTTTTAGTAGTATAACTAATGGTATTCTATTTCTCATTGCATAATGAGCTGGGCACCTCAATTCATTATAGTTCTGTTGCTGGTTTTTGTCTTAGGAAAGTACAGTGTTGCACTAGTATATGAGACTTCTAAACAAGAAGATATATAACTACAGCAAGCTTCATTTTTTAACACTCCAGTATGTGTTTTGTACTTTTTTTATTATTATTGTCATTTATTTATCTATTTATCTTTCCTCTTTCTTTCTTTCTTTCTTTTTGTTTCTTTCTTCCATACAACGCTCCAATGGAAACAGAAAGCAAATACTGGCCGCTGACTACAAACGCAGGAGAAAGGCAAATCCTATAGTAAGGAACAGTGTATGTGGAAAAAAAGAATGGCATGATGCAGAGTATACAGAATGGGAGCTGGACACAACTTTGAAGATTTCTGTCTGGAAAATGTTCGTTGCCTTAGACATTAAATCTGTTCCTTGCTTATTGGTTTCAGATGAAAAATAGGTGACCCCAGACAACACAGGGTTAATTGTTCTTCCCCCACGTAAATCAGCGTGATGGCAAATGAAGACCCATCGAGCACCTAGAAAAAGAACCCAAGCCAGTTCTATCAGATGTTGCTAGGAGACTTTCCGAAAATAGTTTAGGTAAATGGCTCAGGCTCCTGTCTGTTCCTCTAGCAAAGAGAACGACATGTAAAAATATTTTTATTTCCTGCCTTGTCATTTTTGGGGTTATTTTTACAACATCAAAATATAAGAACAGAGAACAGAGAACAACCTGCACCCTGTTAAACAATCTTCAGGAAGATTAAGAGTTTATCAATCCTCGATTTAGAGTTTTCATGAAAAGAGTACTTGTTTAGGTGACATAAACATATACATAGTTAGCCATATTTATGTTTATATCATTGACCAGACTGAAATTGCCAGAGCTTCAAATTCCATGTCATTGTATGGAAAGAGAATTTTCAGTCAATGTGTGTATGAAAGGGAAAATTCCATTTTAATTCGACAAAGAAAATAATACAACATTTTTGAGGTTCCCCAAGAACCCTAAGCTGTTGAAAGCGACCTAGTGAATATTTCTCACCCATGTGCAGGGGGGCTCACTTCCACCGTCTGCCGCAACCTCACTTAGCTCCATCTCTGGTCCAGCCACTGCCATACTCTCATAGTGTCACTGTACCTCTACTCCCAGCATGTCTGCCACCATCTTCCTAAAACACCCTTGAGAACATATGTGTCTATTTATTGAGAAAATATTCCTATTAAACACTTTATAGATGCTGTTCTACATTAAGGAGTGGTAGTGTGTAATGTTAGAACCATAAATCCAGTTTTACAATCATATTTTATTTTACATTGACCTCTAAAAACAGTATTTTCTGCCAATTTATTTACACACCAGAGAGGCCTAGCCTACCGTTGACCCTTTAACTGTTTATGAACCAGAGCTGCATGATTTCTGACTGTGCTTTCACTGGGAGAGAAAAATACTAGTGGCCTTTACACAAACTAGGCTTCAAGTAAGTAGTTGCTTAGGTGAAAATCTCCATTCTACATTCTTAGTGTGCTGACAAGTCATTTCTCTGATGTGGGTTCTGTCCACCAACACAGATGTTACTAATGCGAAAAAAAAACATTTGAATAAAATGTATGGAGATGCTAGCAATTTGGCTAGTATACGGTATAGATGGAATTCTATTCTTTATAAAGTGCCACAATACCATTGTTTCGTGATAGATGCAAAGCAGAAACTGCAAAGACAGGTTTCTCTTTATTAGTGTTGACTGTGGGGGATTTGTAAGCAAACCGCATCTAGCGTAGCATATTGAGCATCAGTACAGTTAATGAGCAATGGGTTATATTTAGCAATCATTGTTTATTAAGCATTTTAACTTGTAACCCCAATTGCAATGTATATTTGTACCATAACAACCTGATGTACAGACTTATCTCACCTTCATAGATAACTTAGGTGGCTTGTGATTATGATGGGTATTATATGTATATATAGAAACCCATTAATTAGGTGTATTAAGTATACAGAGATACAAAATGCAGAAAAACCTGCAACTCTCTGAAATTTTGAAGACGTTGTTGTTCTCTGCCACATGGTTGCCTAGTTATATACAAACCTGTCTTCACAAAACTCCTTCTAGATGGGTTCTAATGAAGGAAGAAACAGGAGTTGTGAAATCACAGCAATATCAGCTAAGAGGTATCTGTGCCATATGAGCTGTACTTGCTGTAAAATGTTAATAAATGACAATATATCCCCTAGATTGCAAACTAATTTGAGCAAGTCCTTCTTCTCGTCTTGTTTCTGTTTCACATTACATTGTCGCGATTCCTTCGTTTTGTTTTATATTCCCGTGTTATAGTGTTGTGGATCATGTTATCACCATATACATTGTAATAATAATCATTATGTTCCCAGAATAAAAAAAAAAACAACAAATATTAATAGTGGTCATTCATTCCCTTGACGGAGGAGATGGACCGTAGATTGATCTTATTTTGTTGAGCTAATTTGTTTCTTCTATCTGTGAGAAAGAGCGATACAAATTTATAGGAAAATATAATTTTTAATTTTTTTCTCTGCTGCTTAGTAAACAGTTTTATGACTTCCAAATGGTGGATAAGACATCTTTCTTTTAAAAAAATAAATAAATCTTTATTTAAAGGACCACTATAGTGCCAGGAAAACATACTCGTTTTCCTGGCTTTATTGTGCCCTGAGGGTGCACCCACCCTCAGGTTCCCCCTCCCGCCAGTCTCTAGGGGGTGGAAGGGGTTAAACGTACCTCTTTCTCCAGCGCCGGGCGGGGGACTCTCCTCCTCCTCTCCTTCCTCTTCTTCCGTCACCGGCTGAATGTGCATGTGCGGCAAGAGCCGCGCACGCATTCAGCCAGTCCATAGGAAAGCATTCTCAATGCTTTCCTATGGACGCTGGCGTCTTCTCACTGT